CAAAAACACCCATATGCACACCCAGTATGGCATTTTTTTAAACTCATCAATAAAAGTAATGAACTTTTTTTTTTTACCTATTCACTGCACCCAATTACGTCATTAACTTTTGCCGTGTACAACAGCTTAAAATCATATCTATGACGTCATTATTTCAGGGGCTAAATACACAAGTTCTCCATCTTAGTGAAAAGGGTTTTGTTAATTTTGGTGGTGGTTATTTTTTTTTTAAAAACATTATTTATCGATTCGTTTCGAATTAAATTTCTAGGGGCAACAGAAATTTTGAGCAACTCCCTGCTGGGTCTGTAGGTAGGGCAGCGCTTCTGGTGAGCACTAGTCTGTGTTTGTTCTTATTATATTGTTTGCTATTTGAGCTGAGATTGATGTTTGTGTACAAGTACAAGCTTGATGTAACAATTTTCATGTTTGTAGACTGGCTTGATGTAACAAAGTTCATGTTTGTAGACTGGCATGGTGTAAAAAAGTGTATGTTTGTAGACTGGCTTGATGTAACAAAGTTCATGTTTGTAGACTGGCATGGTGTAACAATTTTCATGTTTGTAGACTGGCTTGATGTAACAAAGTTCATGTTTGTAGACTGGCTTGATGTAACAAAGTTCATGTTTGTAGACTGGCTTGATGTAACAAAGTTCATGTTTGTAGACTGGCTTGATGTAACAAAGTTCATGTTTGTAGACTGGCTTGGTGTGTTACAATGTTTTTAGACTGACTTGATGTGTTACAATGTTTTTAGACTGACTTGATGTGTTACTATGTTTGTAGACTGGCTTGATGTAACAAAGTTCATGTTTGTAGACTGGCATGGTGTAAAAAAGTGTATGTTTGCAGACTGGCTTGATGTAACAAAGTTCATGTTTGTAGACTGGCATGGTGTAACAATTTTCATGTTTGTAGACTGGCTTGATGTAACAAAGTTCATGTTTGTAGACTGGCATGGTGTAAAAAAGTGTATGTTTGTAGACTGGCTTGATGTAACAAATTTCATGTTTGTAGACTGGCATGGTGTAACAATTTTCATGTTTGTAGACTGGCTTGATGTAACAAAGTTCATGTTTGTAGACTGGCTTGATGTAATAAAGTTCATGTTTGTAGACTGGCTTGATGTAATAAAGTTCATGTTTGTAGACTGGCTTGGTGTGTTACAATGATTTTAGACTGACTTGATGTGTTACAATGTTTTTAGACTGACTTGATGTGTTACTATGTTTTTAGACTGACTTGATGTAACAATGTTTGTAGACTGACTTGATGTGTTACAAAGTTTTTTGACTGACTTGATGTAAAAATGTTTGTAGACTGACTTGATGTAACAATGTTTGTAGACTGACTTGATGTGTTACAATGTTTTTAGACTGACTTGATGTAACAATGTTTGTAAACTGACTTGATGTGTAACAATGTTTGTAGACTGATTTCATGTAACAATGTTTGTAGACCGACTTATGTTACAATGTTTGAAGACTGGCTTGATTTACAAAGTTTGCAGACTGACTTGATGTAACAATGTTTGTAGACTGACTTGAAGTAACAATGTTTGTAGACCGACATGATGTAACAATGTTTGTAGACTGACTTGATGTAACAATGTTTGTAGACTGACTTGATGTAACAATGTTTGTAGACTGACTTGATGTAACAATGTTTGTAGACTGACTTGATGTGTAACAATCAAATTCAACTGAGCAGAAGAATCAATATTTTCTATATATGACACATGTCTCGTTTCAATATGGCTTTAAAGTTTTGTCCCATGATACTTTATAATATGAGATTTGATTATGTGATACTTGATAATATGAGATTTGATTATGTGATACTTGATAATATGAGATTTGATTATGTGATACTTGATAATATGAGATTTGATTATGTGATACTTGATAATATGAGATTTGATGTTAGCATATGTTAATATGATTTAAAGTTTGTTTAGTTTCAAGCTCTGAGGGTATGCACACGTTCCTGGGTTTGGATGTTTTGCATCAAATTTGATGATGTGTATCAAGAAACTTGATGTGTTATATCAATATTTTTTAATGATTTCGTTTCATATTTTGGTGGAATCATTTGTCATTTATGGGCTTGTTTAGTCCAGGCCTGGACAACTCAAAATTTAAGGCGGGCCGTAAGACTTTATGAAACCTTGTTCGGGCCGAAAGAAAATAGGAAAAAAAAAAGGGGGGGGGGGGGCTATAACGCAAATAATAATATTAATCAAGAATAGTTCGTTACTTCGTGGGCCGCAAAGGGGATGCTGGTGGGCCGCATGTGGTCCGCGGGCCGTATGTTTTGCAGGCCTGCAGTCAGTGAGTGTTTTTAACTGTGGAGACTCCTGAATTTGTGCGTCTTGGAAAGTGGTCGGCAACATTTGGCTACGGATTAATGAGACTCTTTTGGCAACCCTTAGCTATGGATTATATGAGACTCTTTTTGGCAACCCTTGGCTACGGATTATATGAGACTCTTTTGTTGGATTAAGTTATAATTGTATAAGCGTCTCCCAAAAACATGTTAAACAGATATTATTTATAAAAAGGGCTTCTCAGTTTAAAAAGGGTTGTCGACTCCTGTTCTAGAGTTTGGGTTTTTATTTGGGGGGGCACTACTCTAGTTTGGTTTTTTAAGTGTCAAGGGAAATAAATGTGATTTCTGTTTTCTGAGTTTGTATTGGCCAGAAGTATAGATTCTTTTTATTAAAACTTTTTTTTAAGCAAATTGAATATCAAACAGATGGTCGAACTTAGGGAGTTATCTTTTATCCCGACAGACCACTGAATTCTTTAAAAGTCTTATTTTCCACATTAATAATTGGTAAATTCTTGTATTTCTTGTAATCTTGATTCTGGAAAATTCAACTTCCGGCAATAAAAATGGCGAACTCTTAAGTTTTTAACGAGTTTCTATAACTTGTCGCATTTTCATTTGACCTGTCTGCCAAGGAAGGCTTTTAGTCGAAATCTTCTTCTCTAATGGTCCTGTCTTTCTATTTCAGGCTTCCACATACCTTGTTCGTCTTTTTCCCTTTACACAGTTTGAAAGAAGTCCTTCATTTTTTTCACTGATTTTTTATTCTTCACTTAACAATACAAAATGCTACACAATTTATAATCCACGTTTCCCACCAACAGAAGGTCCAAACTGCTCCGTCCAGACGTTACCATGACAACAGCTGCAAGGCGGCAACCCCGGCCCTCAAGGCGGAGATCTTTGAGCAAGCTGTGTGACGCGTCACAGTATCCCTTGACAACAGGGACTCTAACTGGCACCCACTGTAGTCATGACAACACAAACAACTCTTACTGCACATGTGCAGACAAACGCTTACAAAACTGCTTCACGTGCTCGCTGCGATCACGGTCATGTCCGCCATCTTGGACCTTCCAGAGCACGACCTCCAGTTTGGCGCGGGAATGTATCAAATATTTCATGGACACAGAGATTCTCACAATGAGGAACGCCAAGTTAATGTGAGTTCAAAGTTCAGCAGTTCAAATGATTTAATGTGAGTTCAAAGTTCAGCAGTTCAAATTATTTTATTTTCCAATTAAAAAGTCAGATCCTAAATGTTCTTTTTTACAATTTTGTTCAGTCTTAGACAGGTCAAAGCCCTACATCGGTAGTAGCACCACAACGAGGGATGGGTGGTCTAAGTGGAAGGAAATGGTGAGACCGACCAAAGCCCTACATGGGAAGTAGCGCCACAGGAAGGGGTGGGTGGTCTAAGTGGAAAAAAATGGTGAGACCTACCAAAACCCTATATGGGCAGTAGCGCCACAGGGAGGGGTGGGAGCTGTGAGTGGAAGGACGTGGTGAGGGGGGGGGGCGTTGGCCTTTTTATGCGATAAGATGACGTCATGGTTCTAAATTAATGTATGCACTATACGAACTATTTCTTTTTAAGTTCCTGCTTAAGTTTATTATATGGAATTAAGCTTCAAATTCCCTCTGGTATCGCGTACTACTGAAACATTTAACAACAAAAGCCTTCCCCAAAAAAAGCCATTAATAAACTTAAATGAACGGCGAATGGTCAGACGTGCATGGGATGATTCATTTATCAACGGTCAAGGGCAATTCATGGGATGATTCATTCATCAACAGTTTGGGGCATAAACAGTTTAGACATCAACAGTTAAGGGCATCTACAGTTTAGGGCATCTACAATTAATGTCTCATTAATCTACTTAAAAGCTTTATTGCAGTCCGACACTTTTATTTCGGAGACAAAATAGCAAATAGATTTGTTCTGCTTTCATGTCATTTGCGGTTGTCATGGATTTGCTAATCAAACATGGATTTGATGACTCACGGTGAACGCTCCTTCTACTTCCATGGGCCCACGTTCTGGAACCAGCTTCCCTTCCACATCCGTCATTGTGAAACCTCGTCCACTTTTAAAAAGTCCCTTAAAACCCATCTGTTTAGGTCCGCCTATGACCTGTGATGCACCCTCCTTGCCCTGCCTCATTTTCTGTCTCGGGTTAATCCTGAAGTAAAGGCCAAAACGTGCCAAAGTGTCCTCGTTGTATAGCCATTTTAATTGTTTCTATAGTATAGTAGTTACTATCCTAATGTCTCATTTTCATTTTAGTTAGTTTACATGTTTTTAATAATTGTAAAGCGCTTAGAGCTTTAAGGTAAGCGCTAGATAAAAGTGCCTAAATAAATAAATGAAGTAAAGGGAAATAAATTAATTATTAAGATCAAATGAAAACAACAAATATGATAGAAACAACAAAAATGATAGAAACAACAAAAATGATAGAAACAACAAAAATGATTCTGGAACCAACCAGAATTTAACGAAATGGGCGGCGTCCGAGGTCAAGCTACTCTGTTTTACAAAAATTTGGGGCGTACCTCTTAATTTACAGTCAAAAATTTGATTGTAGATTGCGCACTTGAAATGATCGCACCAAACCCTAGTAAATAGCGCACGTACCAAAATACACAAAACACATAACTAAATCGAAAATGGCGCCTCCCGATTGCAACAATGTTGTTATTCAACGATATAACCGGAAATCAGAATGACCTGAGGGCGCCAAATGTCTTCCTTGTGCGGTAGGTGGAGCGTGCCCAAATATTCATCCAAGCCAGTTCAGGAGAATGTGTGACACTGGCTACAGACTTTGAGAAGATGGTGGGTCAAAGTTCGTCTTGGTGCGTGTGACATTTCGGTTCGTATCAAAGTGACAACGTTATCAAGCTGTCAGGGCGTAGAGTATAAAGGGCTGACATGGAGACCTTATGTTACGACTTTGATAATTCACTGTGGTCAAGCCCCGCCCACTATCAATCAGGTGACACTGACAGGCAATCGGGTTATGATAAAGTGGATTCGAAGCTTCAGTCCAAGGATCTGATGCCTTATGTTAAGAGTTGTAAAATGTTCTCGAGGAAAGAAAATCCTGCTGATTGTATGAATGAAGTCGCTGGTCATCGAAAATCGCGAAAGGAATATTTGAACAACGAATGCGCTTTTGTCTTTGGCGATAATATACAACCTCTGTACAAGTTCAGGGGACGGTCGGCAGGGAAAATGGAAAACAAACAAAAGAGGCATTCAAGAAAGTGTGATGTCGACCTCGGTAGTTTGAGAACCACTGATTCTCCGAGACCAAAGCGGGACCAGTGTGAGCTAAACAATAACTCGCGCGTAAACAATGACGACTCGTCAGGTATGACGTCGGTCAAAGACCTCAACCAGCCAGATTTCCAACGTTTTCTCAACGATGTGTTAGTGGATGATGACCAGTGCCATCCAGATCCGGAAGTCCTGTCCTTCCTGGCAATGCTCTTCAGCGAAGGCGTCAATCTTGAACGCTACACGGGAAATTCTGTGCGGGATACGAATGTCCCTTCTGAGACCTCCACGAGTGGGTTGTGTCAAAACGTCCAAAACTTTTTAGCGTCAGTGGTGACGGGGAAATGCGCGCGAGAGATGCACTGGCATATTTTAAGCTTCTTGAAGTTCCTGCTGCAAGAAGATCCTACGAACTTGGAAGACACGCAGGACAGCACGCGCTATACCAGCGCCGCTGCGGAGTGTCCCCAAGTTTTCAGGGCAGTCGACATCCTGTCGGAGCTGAATAAGAACAATCACAGGGCTTGCTGTATGCCCACCTTGAGGAAACTCAACAGGGATCTAAAGAGGGTCTGCGAACAGAACCGTTGTCTCAGAGCGGAGAATTTAGAACTTCGGTAAGAAGTAGGGGTGTTTTAGAGTTGGATGGGGTGGGGTTTGAAGAATGTGACACCCTATGGGGGTTGTTTGTGCGTTTAATGGCGCCATAATTGTTGTGATATTGTTATTATGTCCATGACTGGGGGAATTATGATAATTAATCGAGTAAATTGAAATCACCTCTAGTCTAACTTTATGGACATCAATACGTGTCTAAATTCCTTGACATCAGTACTAGTCTAACTTTATTGACATCAATAATAGTCTAACTTCATTGATTTCAGTACTAATCTAACTTCATTGACATCAGTACTAGTCTAACTTCATTGACTTCAGTGGTTGTCTAGTTTATGACATAAAGAGTACCTTTGTGTAAATAATTAAAAGCAGCACTTTTATCTACTTCAATGATCTACATACTTTTGTTAAACTTGTCTGTAGTCATTGTCTATACTACATATGGATTTGAACCCCAGTCTGCCAACATCCTTGAACACCAGTCTGAAAGCCCCCATGTCCCAGGCCCTTACTGACCATACCAATAATACAAATTAACATTCCATACAAGATAGCATTACCCCAACATTATTCCCACGGCTATTTCAACCTGTGACAATGGTGGCCCTCTCTCCCTGTATTTTGTTTGCTGCAATTTAATAAGGTTGGAGTTGTGACGTCAATCGACGCATTCTTGTCACATGATGACATCAGGCCTACGACTGCCAAACCCCTCCCAGTACCCACCCTCGACTGCCCCGACCCAACCAGTACCCACCCGATGACAGCCCCGACCCACCAAGTACCAACCCTACAACAGCCTCCCCCCTCCAACATTACCCACCCTACGACTGCCCCACTTCATTCAGTACCCATCCTACGACTGTCCCACCCCATCTGATGACAGCCCCGACCCAACCAGTACCCACCCGATGATAGCCCCGACCTACCAAGTACCCACCTTCCAACAGCCTCCTCCCCCCCCCCCCCCTCCCCGACCCCACCCGTCCCCCCCCGATGATAGCCCCGACCTACCCAGTACCCCCCTTACAACCGCCCCCCCCCCCCCCCCCCACAAACAGTACCCACCTCACGATAGCTCCTCTCACATCCACAACTGAACATGTTCTTCCATTGATATAGAAATCCTTTTTGTCCACTTTCTTGATTCGATTACCCTCGTCCTTGACCTCCTCCTAGGCACAAAAACATACGGTGAACGATCGTTCTCTTTCTGTGCCCCCAAACAATGGAACTCTCTCCCACTACACATAATATGCAATATACCGACCATCACAGCCTTCAAACTGCACTCAAAACACTCTTTAAACTCTACTATCCTGACTAATCCCCCCCCCCCCCCCCCCCCCCCCCCCCCGTTTCTGATCGATAAACGATGAGGCTTGGTAGCCGTCCATAGTTGGACATGTCAATAGTTCTGGAATGTCTGGAGTGAAGATACATTTGTTTTGTTTCATTTAATTAATGTATGTTAATTTTTAAGTTCATGATTATGTTGTTAAATTGTATGAACAGCGTGGTGAGCCCAGCCCTAGGCTGGAGTACCGCCCCATATACAAACACTAATAATAATAATACCCCCCACACTCTTTTTGTCATCCGTTCACCCATGACTGCACACACACTGTTACAAGTTGCAACCGTAAAATCTCTCATTTCAAAGTGAACTATTTCAACAAGTCTATTTTTTAATTGATGTCATTTTATCAACTGTATGGTGCAACATACCTTGCTATTTTAATTCGATATAAGTTAAAATGACATGTTAAAATGTCATAAGTTAAAATGACACGTTAAAATGTCATAAGTTAAAATGACACGTTAAAATGTCAAAAGTTAAAATGACATGTCAAAATATCATAAGTTAAAATGACACGTTAAAATGTCATAAGTCAAAATGACACGTTAAAATGTCATAAGTTAAAATGACATGTTAAAATGTCATAAGTTAAAATGACATGTTAAAATGTCATGAGTTAAAATGGCACGTTAAAATGTCATAAGTTAAAATGACATGTTAAAATGTCATAAGTTAAAAAAAACACGTTAAAATGTCGTAAGTTAAAATGACATGTTAAAATATCATAAGTTAAAATGACACGTTAATATATCATAAGTTAAAATGACACGTTAATATATCATAAGTTAAAATGATTCGTTAAAAAGACATATGTTAAAATTACATGGGTTAATAATTAAATTACTAAAATGACACGAGTAAAATGACATGAGTAAAATGACATGAGTAAAATGACATGAGTAAAATGACACGAGGGCAAATGACACTAGTAAAATGACATGGACAAATGACACGGGTAAAATGTCACGGGTGAAATTACCTTAATGAGATGTGTGTGTGTGTTTTTTTTGTTTTTTTTTTTTTTTTTGCCAGAAATAATATTTGCCTGCACAAGAAGATGGCTGCCGAGGGGTGTGCAAAGATTCTCAACGCCATCATCAAATACTGCGAAGCTCAGGGGGGATGTAGCTCGTCATGTCCCCCTCCTTGTTTTTTTTGTTTTTTTTTTTTTTTTTGCCAGAAATAATATTCGCCTGCACAAGAAGATGGCTGCCGAGGAGTGTGCAAAGATTCTCAACGCCATCATCAAATACTGCGAAGCTCAGGTGGAATGTAGCTCGTCATGTCCCCCTCCTAAAGAATGTCCAGGTAAATGCAGCTCGTCATGTCCCCCTCCTAAAGAATGTCCAGGTAAATGTACCTCGTCATGCCACCCTCCTAAAGAATGCCCAGGTGAATGTAGCTCGTCATGTCCCCCCTCCTAAAGTTTTAGGACATATTCTATTCTCCATGTACACTAGCCAGCTCGGCAAAATTATTGAAAGTCATGGTAACTATACAAGTGTTTCCTCCCTGATCCCTTGGAGTGTGCTGCTGCAGTTCAGGCTGTCGAGGACTGCTGTCTTGCTGTGAAAGAATGGATGTCATCAAACAGACTAAAGTTAAATTATGATAAGACTGAGGCAATTATTTGTGGTTCAGACACCAATCTTCGAAAGTTACCATCGCTTCAATAAAAGTTGGTGAATCAGAGATCCCGTGGTCCTCGACCTTGGCTTTTATATTGACAGTAAACTTAGCATGATTCCCCATATCAGTTATGTGGTCTGGGCATGCTTCTGTCACCTGCGCACCCTGGGTCTGCTGCATCCTCAACTCAATATGAGAACAGCCAATGCTGTAGCGATAACTCTAATCCAGTCAATATTAGATTACTGTAACAGTTGTTTGTGGGGTTTACCTCGGAGCCAAATTCAGAGACTCCACAAGATACAAAATACTGCAACACGCATTGTATCGCGGATAAAGAAATCTGACCACATCACCCCAGTTCTACGAGATCTCCATTGGGTTTCTGTGAGTGAGCGCCTTAACTACAAAATTCTGCCCCTGGCGTACAGCTGCATAGATGGCTCAGCACCGGAATATCTTAAAGAACTGATTTATAAACATGTATCCTTAAAGAGCCTGCAGTCTTCAACACAGTACTTACTGAGAGTTCCTAGAGTGGATAAACACAGAAAAAAGTCGTACGGAGTGCGCTCTTTTGACGCGATAGCGCCAAAATTATGGAACAGTTTGCCTCAATCTTTGAGGGGAAAGGAAAATGATTAAAAAATCGTTTAAAAAACATTTTTACAAATTTCTGTTTAAGATAAGATTATTTTATTGATCCAAACAAATATCCAGGTGAATGTAGCTCGTCATGTCCCCCTACTAAAGAATGTCTAGGTAAACGTAGGAGGGGGGCGAGCTACATTCAACTGGACATTCTTTGGTAGGGGGACATGACAAGCTACATTCAACTGGACATTCTTAGGTAGGGGGACATGACAAGCTACATTCAACGGGACATTCTTTGCTAGGGGGACATGACAAGCTACATTCAACTGGACATTCTTTGGTAGGGGGACATGACAAGCTACATTCAACTGGACATTCTTTGCTAGGGGGACATGACAAGCTACATGCAACTGGACATTCTTTGGTAGGGGGACATGACAAGCTACATTCAACTGGACATTCTTTGGTAGGGGGACATGACAAGCTACATTCAACTGGACATTCTTTGGTAGGGGGACATGACAAGCTACATTCACCTGGATATTCTTTAGGAGGGGGACATGTGTGCTGACAATGTTTAACAGTAACCTGTTAGTAGCATTTTTACATTTCTGATCCTTGCCAGTTCAATTTTCAAGTTTTTTTAAACTATTTTCTATTTTTTTTTTTTGTTCATTTGTCTTTTCTGCTGAGGAAGAGATTAGATTGTTCTTCGTTTATTATTCTTTCTTTATGGTTCAAATGATAATGGCGTGTTGTAGTGTGCTTTTATTGATTTTTAGTTTGTTGTTTTGTTAGTTTGTTTTCTGCGTTGAGAGCAAGGAGTACGCGTGCACCATCAACCTCGGCGGTGCGCACTTGTTTCCACCATCAACCTCGACGGTGCGCACTTGTTTTCACAATGAACCGCACATTTGTGGCGTTAGGCGGAAGTCACTAGGATTGTCTGGTCACCGCCATAGTTTCAGCCTTTTTCAAAATAACCTCTCATTTTTTAGAAACATGCTTTGAAAAGAATTCCAGAGAAATTTTTCATTCTAAAGACGTGTAATTGGGCCAGAATGGCGATTTTCAACAACTCTGCGAAATCTCTAAAGCATACTGACAGCTTGGCATTGGTTTAACGATCGGATGGATTTATTTGCCGGCTAAGTCATTAAGTCTGTACATTTTAATTGTTGAATCAGGTACCAAATCATTGCAACTTGCTGCTATCGCCAGCACGGCAATGACAGTCAGTGGTTCGGAAAACACTGAATTCATTCAACAATCAATGCCATAAATTCCCCGAGCTGACTGAAATATTTCTGCTCAGCAACCTCGGATCTGATAGGTTGCTGAGGTACAGTTGATAAGCTTGCAGATGCCAACTTTAAATAAATGAGCACGGATAGAAGATGATGGTATGCGTGCGACAGGAGGAAATTGATCGCGTTCGAAGGCGCAACTGTAGAATTCGTAACGCAAATCACATCCTGAAGACGACCCTGAAGAATCTTTGCGACAGGCCGTACAGCGAGTGCGATAAAATCCTGCAGTCCGTCGTGGACATGTGCAAGAAAACGCCATGCGAGTTCAACTGCAATCACCCGTGCTGCTGCCCATGTCCGGTCCCGTGCCTACCCTCATGCCCAACGTCGTGCCCGCCCAGGCAGTGCTCCACGTCTTGCTACTGCACCGTGTGTCGACCGGTCAGGGTGTCCTGCGTGACGACGCCCTGCTGTGCTGGTAAAACCACGAAGTGCTACTGCTCGTGCTGCGTGGGCATTTGTCCGGAGACGTGCTGCCCGCGGAAGCCTCTTTCTTGCTGTAAGCCCTGCACACAGATATGCAGTCGCTCTCTGTCTCCTTGCCGGAAGCCTTGCCTCAAGCCCAATCCATGCTGCTCTCCCCCGAAGAGGCGATCCAAGAGCTTCTGTTCACCCAAGAGGTCATCCTGCTGCATTCCAGCCAAAGTTTGCGATGATTCAACAAAGTGCAATAGAAAAGGTCTGTTTCACCAAATGTTGTTAAGATTAAAACAAATTAGAATTTGTTCAAATGCTGTCCTGCAGACATTTCACATTTCTTAGATCAAAAGAAGATACAAGTTAAAGTATATCCTTATGATGACCCTTCTATTCAGTTTTATGCAGTTTTTGTCGCTTGGGGCGGCTTTTCCCTTTGGTGCCCCCTACTCGTGGCAAACTCATAATCGTTAAAAGCAATGGAACTCTAGAATGTGACAACCCAGAAATATACCGCCCATGGGTGTCACAGCTGTGACAACATGAAATAGACCACCCATGGGTGCCACAGCTGTGACAAACTGAAATAGACCGCCCATGGGTGTCACTGCTGTGACAAACTGAAATAGACCGCCCATGGGTGCCACAGCTGTGACAAAACTGAAATAGACCGCCCATGGGTGTTACTGCTGTGACAAACTGAAATAGACCGCCCATGGGTGTCACTGCTGTGACAAACTGAAATAGACCGCCCATGGGTGTCACTGCTGTGACAAACTGAAATACAACTCCTATTGATGTCCAAATGATAAGAACACAACATTTTATCCCCCACCTTCCCTTCCAACTGAATGTTGCTCTAGGATAATAAAACAAATGCATTTAGCCTGATTTAATGGAACAGTGCAAGTTGTTGCCGCCACTGAACTATGTCCAAAATATAAACAATTCTCTCTCTCTCTGTCTCTGTCTCTCTCTCTCTCTCTCTCTGTCTCTCTCTCTCTCGTCTACAAATCATCAGACCTGTGCTTGATGCAGACATGTACTTCATGCAGGCCTGTACCTGATGCAGGCCTGTATCTGATGCAGGTATGTACCCGATGCAGACCTGTTCCTGGTGCAGGCATGTACCTGATGCAGGCCTGTACCTGATACAGACTTGTACCTGATACAAACTTGTACCTGATGCAGACCTGTTCCCGATGCAGACATGTTCCTGATGCAGACCTGTACTTGATGCAGACCTGTACTTAATGCAGACCTTGACCTTGGCATATCTTTTGGTGGGTGACTACATTCTTACGGCTAGTACTGATTACAATCTTCACTCACCCCTGTTCGGTCGTAATTGTTGGTTAAAGCATAAATATGTCGTCTGCTGGTCACGCTAATGACCTTGACATACTATTTGACCGAAGGTATTTGACTTCAGGTTAGTGAGGCAATGGGCGAAAGGTGTCATAAGCATCAGCATGATTGAGAGACCGCAGGCGTCTCTTGCAGCCAAGGTCCGTTGACTTGACCCATAAGGTTTAAGTACAGTATTTTGTTTGTTAAAATGGAATTTACAAAAAGACTGCAAGGATATTATATTTGTCTTTTTAAAGACAACGTTGATATTTTATTCTTCTGAAATCAAAATATGTTCTTTTTTCTTTCTTTCTTGACCCTCAAAACTAGATACATTTGCGGGTTTCCTTGGGCGGCTGGGAGCAGGGTGTAGTAGCGGTGGATGCGGGGGGTACACGCCCTCAGGGTGGAACAAGATCATGACCAAGACCAGGGCGTTGTGTGACAGTGACCCCTGCACGTGCTGCACGCCAAGCAACCCCTGTCGGCCATCCTGCACACCAAGCAATCCATGCCGAACGTCCTGCAACCCGTGCAAGTCCTGCAGCCCGTGCAAACCATACAACCCGTGCAGCCCTTGCAGTCCGTGCAAGCCATACAACCCTTGCGACCCGTGCAGCCCGTGCAAGCCATACAACCCTTGCAACCCGTGTAGCCCTTGCAAGCCGTATTCCTCGTGCAACCCTTGCAGCCCTTGTAAACCATACAACCCGTGTAGCCCTTGCAAGCCGTATACGTCTTGCAACCCGTGCAAACCTTACAACCCGTGTTCTGACTCCACTTGCCCGCCATACAAGTTCAAGTCCCTGTGCCGGCCGGCTCTTTGCTGCACTGACATCTGCAATTCACAAGCTCCGTCAGGTAAACATCTTCATTGGCAATGTTTGATTCTAAACTTAATTCTCATGTTGTTGTTGTTGTTGTTGTTGTTGTTGTTGTTGTTGTTGTTGTTGTTGTTGTTGTTGTTGTTGTTGTTGTTGTTGTTGTTGTTGTTGTTGTTGTTGTTGTTGTTGAGTTTCTAAAGTTTTGGGGTCTTGTTTTGCCATCATTTTTGTCCACAATTCAAAGTTTTGTTAAGCTGTCTGTGGAGTCATCTATTCATTATGTGCCTTTGGGACTGACTACAACGTCCTGTTGAACAACGGTCAAAAATGATTATTATTTTTTAAAATTATTTCGACTGGAGACTTTTTGGAATGTCGGTTTCGGTGCCAAAAGTTGACATAGGATCACTTTCGGCGTAGCTTCGGTCGAAACAGAAAAGTTAACTTTCGTTGACGTTCGGTTGCAGGCGTGTGCATGTATCACTTTAATGTGTGCATGTATCACTTTAATGTGTGCATGTATCACTTTAATGTGTGCATGTATCACTTTAATGTGTGCATGTATCACTTTAATGTGTGCATGTATCACTTTAATGTGTGCATGTATAACTTTAATGTGTGCATGTATAACTTTAATGTGTACATGTATCACTTTAATATGTGCATGTATCACTTTAATGTGTGCATGTATCACTTTAATATGTGCATGTATCACTTTATTGTGTGCATGTATCACTTTAATGTGTGCATGTATATGTGTGCATGTATCACTTTAATGTGTGCATGTATCACTTTAATGTGTGCATGTATCACTTTAATATGTGCATGTATCACTTTAATGTGTGGACGTATCACTTTAATATGTGCGTGTATCACTTTAACGTGTGCATGTTTCACTTTAACGTGTACGTGTATCATTTTAACGTGTGCATGTTTCACTTTAACATGTGCGTGGATCACTTTAACGTGTGCGTGTATTACTTTAACGTGTGCATGTTTCACTTTAACGTGTGCGTGTATCACTTTAATGTGTGCGTGGATCACTTTTATGAGTGCATGTATTCCTTTCACGTTATAATTATATTATATAGAGGGCCTACTGTATTTTCATACTAAACGCAGCTCAGCATTCGTACTTGAAGCCATTGAGTTGAACAATGTTGTCTTTGATAACATTTTATTCAATGAATCTAAGATAATTATACGTGCACTCTCTCTGTCTCTCTAAAACTGACTAAACGATCTCTTCAAATGCCCACAATCATACAACACTAGATGCTAAACGGATTGGTGGCTTTGCTGACTTTTTCATGTTTTCCTCGACCTTGACCTACTTATTTCCTTTCAATTGCCTTATCCCAGTCGCCCCCCCCCCCCTTTTTTCTTACACACACACACTTTTTTCTATCTCCTTCCACAAAACTTCCAGACCTTCAATAACACTTGCCTCAAAAAGTCCAGAACTTCTAAAAAACTTACCTCAAAAATTTGAGATCTTCTAAAACACTTACCTCAAAAAATTCAGATCTTCTAAAACACTCACCTCAAAAAGTCCAGACCATCTAAAACACTTAACTCAAAATGTCCAGACCCTCTAAAACACTTACCTCAAAATGTCAAGACCCTCTAAAACACTTAGCTCAAAATGTCCAGACCCTCTAAAACACTTAGCTCAAAATGTCCAGACCCTCTAAAACACTTAGCTCAAAATGTCCAGACCATCTAAAACACTTAGCTCAAAATGTCCAGACCCTCTAAAAAACTTAGCTCAAAATGTCCAGACCCTCTAAAACACTTAGCTCAAAATGTCCAGACCATCTAAAACACTTAGCTCAAAATGTCCAGACCCTCTAAAACACTTAGCTCAAAATGTCCAGACCCTCTAAAACACTAAGCTCAAAATGTCCAGACCATCTAAAACACTTACCCCAAAATGTCCAGACCCTTTAAAACACTTGCCTCAAAAAGTCCAGAACTTCTAAAAAACTTACCTCAAAAATTTGAGATCTTCTAAAACACTTACCTCAAAAAATTCAGATCTTCTAAAACACTCACCTCAAAAAGTCCAGACCATCTAAAACACTTAACTCAAAATGTCCAGACCCTCTAAAACACTTACCTCAAAATGTCAAGACCCTCTAAAACACTTAGCTCAAAATGTCCAGACCATCTAAAAAACTTAGCTCAAAATGTCCAGACCCTCTAAAACACTTACCCCAAAATGTCAAGACCATCTAAAACACTTAGCTCAAAATGTCCAGACCCTCTAAAACATTTAGCTCAAAATGTCCAGACCCTCTAAAACACTTAGCTCAAAATGTCCAGACCATCTAAAACATTTAGCTCAAAATGTCCAGACCATCTAAAACATTTAGCTCAAAATGTCAAGACCATCTAAAACATTTAGCTCAAAATGTCCAGACCATCTAAAACATTTAGCTCAAAATGTCCAGACCATCTAAAACATTTAGCTAAAAATGTCCAGACCATCTAAAACATTTAGCTCAAAATGTCCAGACCATCTAAAAAATTTAGCTCAAAATGTCCAGACCATCTAAAACACTTAGCTCAAAATTTCCAGACCATCTAAAACATTTATCTCAAAATGTCGAGAACATCTAAAACATTTAGCTCAAAATGTCCAGACCATCTAAAACACTTAGCTCAAAATGTCCAGACCCTCTAAAACACTTAGCTCAAAATGTCCAGACAATCTAAAACATTTAGCTCAAAATGTCCAGACCATCTAAAACACTTAGCTCAAAATGTCCAGACCATCTAAAACATTTAGCACAAAATGTCCAGACCATCTAAAACACTTAGCTCAAAATGTCCAGACCATCTAAAACATTTAGCTCAAAATGTCCAGACCATCTAAAACATTTAGCTCAAAATGTCCAGACCCTCTGAAACACTTAGCTCAAAATGTCCAGACCCTCTAAAACACTTAGCTCAAAATGTCCAGACCCTCTAAAACACTTAGCTCAAAATGTCCAGACCCTCTAAAACACTTAGCTCAAAATGTCCAGACCCTCTAAAACACTTAGCTCAAAATGTCCAGACCCTCTAAAACACTTAGCTCAAAATGTCCAGACCCTCTAAAACACTTAGCTCAAAATGTCCAGACCCTCTAAAACACTTAGCTCAAAATGTCCAGACCCTCTAAAACACTTAGCTCAAAATGTCCAGACCCTCTAAAACACTTAGCTCAAAATGTCCAGACCCTCTAAAACACTTAGCTCAAAATGTCCAGACCCTCTAAAACACTTAGCTCAAAATGTCCAGACCCTCTAAAACACTTAGCTCAAAATGTCCAGACCCTCTAAAACACTTAGCTCAAAATGTCCAGACCCTCTAAAACACTTAGCTCAAAATGTCCAGACCCTCTAAAACACTTAGCTCAAAATGTCCAGACCCTCTAAAACACTTAGCTCAAAATGTCCAGACCCTCTAAAACACTTAGCTCAAAATGTCCAGACCCTCTAAAACACTTAGCTCAAAATGTCCAGACCCTCTAAAACACTTAGCTCAAAATGTCCAGACCCTCTAAAACACTTAGCTCAAAATGTCCAGACCCTCTAAAACACTTAGCTCAAAATGTCCAGACCCTCTAAAACACTTAGCTCAAAATGTCCAGACCCTCTAAAACACTAAGCTCAAAATGTCCAGACCATCTAAAACACTTACCCCAAAATGTCCAGACCCTTTAAAACACTTAGCTCAAAATGTCCAGACCCTCTAAAACACTTAGCTCAAAATGTCCAGACCTTCTAAAACACTTAGCTCAAAATGTCCAGACCCTTTAAAACACTTAGCTCAAAATTTCCAGATCATCTAAAACACTTAGCTAAAAATGTCCAGACCCTCTAAAACACTTACCTCAAAATGTCCAGACCATCTAAAACACTTAGCTCAAAATGTCCAGACCCTCTAAAACATTTAGCTCAAAATGTCCAGACCATCTAAAACATTTAACTCAAAATGTCCAGACCATCTAAAACACTTAGCTCAAAATGTCCAGGCCATCTAAAACATTTAGCTCAAAATGTCCAGAACATCTAAAACATTTAGCTCAAAATGTCCAGACCATCTAAAACACTTAGCTCAAAATGTCCAGACCCTCTAAAACACTTACCTCAAAATGTCCAGACCCTCTTAAACACTTAGCTCAAAATGTCCAGACCCTCTAAAACATTTAGCTCAAAATGTCCAGACCATCTAAAACACTTAGCTCAAAATGTCCAGACCCTCTAAAACACTTAGCTCAAAATGTCCAGACCCTCTAAAACACTTAGCTCAAAATGTCCAGACCCTCTAAAACACTTAGCTCAAAATGTCCAGACCCTCTAAAACACTTAGCTCAAAATGTCCAGACCCTCTAAAACACTTAGCTCAAAATGTCCAGACCCTCTAAAACACTTAGCTCAAAATGTCCAGACCCTCTAAAACACTTAGCTCAAAATGTCCAGACCCTCTAAAACACTTAGCTCAAAATGTCCAGACCCTCTAAAACACTTAGCTCAAAATGTCCAGACCCTCTAAAACACTTAGCTCAAAATGTCCAGACCCTCTAAAACACTTAGCTCAAAATGTCCAGACCCTCTAAAACACTTAGCTCAAAATGTCCAGACCCTCTAAAACACTTAGCTCAAAATGTCCAGACCCTCTAAAACACTTAGCTCAAAATGTCCAGACCCTCTAAAACACTTAGCTCAAAATGTCCAGACCCTCTAAAACACTTAGCTCAAAATGTCCAGACCCTCTAAAACACTTAGCTCAAAATGTCCAGACCCTCTAAAACACTTAGCTCAAAATGTCCAGACCCTCTAAAACACTTAGCTCAAAATGTCCAGACCCTCTAAAACACTTAGCTCAAAATGTCCAGACCCTCTAAAACACTTAGCTCAAAATGTCCAGACCCTCTAAAACACTTAGCTCAAAATGTCCAGACCCTCTAAAACACTTAGCTCAAAATGTCCAGACCCTCTAAAACACTTAGCTCAAAATGTCCAGACCCTCTAAAACACTTAGCTCAAAATGTCCAGACCCTCTAAAACACTTAGCTCAAAATGTCCAGACCCTCTAAAACACTTAGCTCAAAATGTCCAGACCCTCTAAAACACTTAGCTCAAAATGTCCAGACCCTCTAAAACACTTAGCTCAAAATGTCCAGACCCTCTAAAACACTTAGCTCAAAATGTCCAGACCATCTAAAACATTTAGCTCAAAATGTCCAGACCCTCTGAAACACTTAGCTCAAAGTGTCCAGACCCTCTAAAACACTTAGCTCAAAATGTCCAGACCATCTAAAACATTTAGCTCAAAATGTCCAGACCATCTAAAACACTTAGCTCAAAATGTCCAGACCCTCTAAAACACTTAGCTCAAAATGTCCAGACCCTCTAAAACACTTAGCTCAAAATGTCCAGACCCTCTAAAACACTTAGCTCAAAATGTCCAGACCATCTAAAACACTTAGCTCAAAATGTCCAGACCCTCTAAAACACTTAGCTCAAAATGTCCAGACCCTCTAAAACACTTAGCTCAAAATGTGCAGACCCTCTAAAACATTTAGCTCAAAATGTCCAGACCATCTAAAAAATTTAGCTCAAAATGTCCAGACCATCTAAAACACTTAGCTCAAAATTTCCAGACCATCTAAAACATTTATCTCAAAATGTCCAGAACATCTAAAACATTTAGCTCAAAATGTCCAGACCCTCTAAAACACTTAGCTCAAAATGTCCAGACCCTCTAAAACACTTAGCTCAAAATGTCCAGACCCTCTAAAACACTTAGCTCAAAATGTCCAGACCCTCTAAAACACTTAGCTCAAAATGTCCAGACCCTCTAAAACACTTAGCTCAAAATGTCCAGACCCTCTAAAACACTTAGCTCAAAATGTCCAGACCCTCTAAAACACTTAGCTCAAAATGTCCAGACCCTCTAAAACACTTAGCTCAAAATGTCCAGACCCTCTAAAACACTTAGCTCAAAATGTCCAGACCCTCTAAAACACTTAGCTCAAAATGTCCAGACCCTCTAAAACACTTAGCTCAAAATGTCCAGACCCTCTAAAACACTTAGCTCAAAATGTCCAGACCCTCTAAAACACTTAGCTCAAAATGTCCAGACCCTCTAAAACACTTAGCTCAAAATGTCCAGACCCTCTAAAACACTTAGCTCAAAATGTCCAGACCCTCTAAAACACTTAGCTCAAAATGTCCAGACCCTCTAAAACACTTAGCTCAAAATGTCCAGACCCTCTAAAACACTTAGCTCAAAATGTCCAGACCATCTAAAACACTTAGCTCAAAATGTCCAGACCCTCTAAAACACTTAGCTCAAAATGTCCAGACCCTCTAAAACACTTAGCTCAAAATGTGCAGACCCTCTAAAACATTTAGCTCAAAATGTCCAGACCATCTAAAAAATTTAGCTCAAAATGTCCAGACCATCTAAAACACTTAGCTCAAAATTTCCAGACCATCTAAAACATTTATCTCAAAATGTCCAGAACATCTAAAACATTTAGCTCAAAATGTCCAGACCATCTAAAACACTTAGCTCAAAATGTCCAGACCCTCTAAAACACTTAGCTCAAAACGTCCAGACCCTCTAAAACACTTGCCCGATGTATTGTACTAGCCATAGTCCAGGAAATAATGGTGAACACAGTGCGTGACCTTACCAGCTATTATAACCATGAACATGCATTCAATTAAAGAACTGTATACGATTCCCAATTAGTGCTAACCCCCTTCCCGCACGCAGACATCCCTAAACTATATTAATATTGTAATGCACCCCCCCCCCAACACTGATACAGCGCAGACTTATTACACCATTTCCGTAAAACTAAAGAAAATAGTACGCACCAAATACACTTGCGGTATCTCATCTGGTTCAATTATTGTGAACTTTATTCAGCGAGATCATGTCTCGTGTATCGTTAGTTGCTTTGTTACATAGAGAATCGTGTATTTCGATGATAATTTAGATCTACTCTCAGTTGTTTATCTAGAATATATGACCTAGTAATATGAACATAAAATAATCTCCATCGTCCTGTAGTTTGAAAGCTACATGACGTCATCAGGTTGTGTCATCCTTCCCCCCTCTCCTCTTCTTCCTCCCTCTCTACTTATCCTCCATCTCTGCTTATCTTCCTTATCTTCATCATCTTCTTCTGTCCACATTTACCGGGAAGGGGTCACGGGGAGGTTCGTCTGTCGACTTTGATGGTGTCCTTAACACAGTCGATCCAAAGACTGCGTGGTCTCATTCTGACCCTGAAACCGTCTGCTACCGAGGGTCTGAAGACGTCTTCTACTGAGGGCCTGAAGCCGTCTGTTACTGAGGGCTTGAAGCCGTCTTCTATTGAGGGCCTGAACGCAGTCCCTTATATATTGTAGGTTTGCAATTGAGGCTAATTGATAGGCATTCTGCCAGGTGACCAAATCTCTTACTTCCTGGTTCCGAATGTGCTACCTGCTCGCTTTACAGGACATGGGTTCAACATGAAGATGTGTCTAGCTCATGTGTGAAGACTGGACCTAGTGGACCATGGGAAGAATGGACCTGGTGGACCATGTGAAGACTGAACCTTGTGGAGTATGTGAACTCTGAACCTGGTGGAGCAAGTGAAGACTGGACCTGGTGGAGCATGTGAAGACTGGACCTGGTGGAACATATGAAGACTGACCTAGTGGAACATATGAAGACGACCTGGTGGAGCATGTGAAGACTGGATTTGGTGGAGCATGTGAAGAGTGGACCTGGTGGAACATATGAAGACGACCTGGTGGAGCATGTGAAGACTGGATTTGGTGGAGCATGTGAAGAGTGGACCTGGTGGAACATATGAAGACGACCTGGTGGAGCATGTGAAGAGTGGACCTGGTGTGGTGGAGCACGCAAAAGAGATAATTGCATTATCAAATGGGGGCAAAAACTAGTGACATTAATGTGACGTTAAATGCGTTAAGCGCACAGTGGGACACAAGAAACACCTCTGGTCATCCACTGTAGCCTAGCCTATCTTCCAGTCGTCTTGACCAAGTCTTGCCATTGGTCATCCACTGTAGCCTAGCCTATCTTCCAGTCGTCTTGACCAAGTCTTTCCATTGGTCATCCGCAACACCCTTGTCTATTTCCACTCATCTTGACTTAGTGTTGCCACTGGATCAAAATAGGCTGGGACGAGAGAGTGAGGCTGACAAATGGCACAACTATCCCTCTCTTAGATCAAAATGAGATGCATGCCATTGCGTCTAAGCTCTCCAACTGGTGACGTCATTTGATCACTGAAATGGAGAAAGAAGTTAGAAAAGGTGCTTCAAACACAAAACATCTTTTTCATCAACAACAAGAACAAGCCAGAGGGACAGAGCATGGTAGGAGAACAAGCCAGATGGATAGAGCATGGTAGGAGAACAAGCCAGATGGACAGAGCATGGTAGGAGAACAAGCCAGATGGACAGATCATGGTAGGAGAACAAGCCAGATGGACAGAGCATGGTAGGAGAACAAGCCAGATGGACAGAGCATGGTAGGAGAACAAGCCAGATGGACAGAGCATGGTAGGAAAACAAGCCAGATGGACAGAGCATGGTAGGAGAACAAGCCAGATGGACAGAGCATGGTAGGAGAACAAGCCACATGGACAGAGCATGGTAGGAGAACAAACCAGATGGACAGAGCATGGTAGGAGAACAAGCCAGATGGACAGAGCATGGTAGGAGAACAAGCCAGATGGACAGAGCATGGTAGGAGACCAACCCAGATGGACAGAGCATGGTAGGAGAACAAGCAAGACAGCAGATTTTCCAAACGAATAATGTTCGATGAACTCTCCAGAAGGAAACGCTCAGCTGGTGGACAGAAACAGCGCTTTAAAGACTGTCTAAAAACTTCACTCAGATCCCTGGACATCGACCTGAATTCCTGGGAAATACTTGCTATGCATCGTACAAGCTGGCGAGGCAGACTCACTATTCAATTACAATCTTCAGAGAGTAACCGCACAGTGCTCACGCTAAGAGTAAGCGCACAACACGGAGAAGAAGAACCGAATCAAATCCAACTTGGACCTCAAAACAAGCTTTCCAGGCACCTTTGTACTCGCCGTTGAATCTAATAAAGCCTTGGTCATCTTAGCTTGCACGCACACACAACAAACTATGTGCAAGCCTCACCTTAAATATCTCAACTCGAAAGTGCAGAGTTTTTTCTCGAGAATTTTATTTCGAGCCCAAGCCTGACACTGGTAGACATTTTCACATATGACACTGGTGGACATTTTCACACCTGACACTGGTGGACATTTTAAAATCTGACACTGGTGGACATTTTCACACCTGACACTGGTGGACATTTTCAAATCTGACACTGGTGGACATTTTCAAATCTGACGGGAAATGAGAAATTTAAATAAGAATTCTAACAAGTAGCCTCCCTACTAAGATTGCCAAAAATCTAGATGAAGACCAAAAGCCACCTTAATGAACACTGCCCATCCTCCTCCTTATACTCAAAAATAATCTGATGATTCTGGTTTTTCACACCTCTTTCTGCACACCACCGCATAGTTTAGCACCGCGTTTGAAAGCGGGTGGCAATATCGGAAGTGACACTATCAGCTATGGGGCGGAAAGAGCCTAGCTTGATATATTTGCCAGACTGTCATGTGTCCACGTCCGAGCCGCCTGGCTGCACTCACGCGGCTGACAGCAAGGACGACACCAACAGAATCACTCGTGACCACTGGTCAAGGCTAGTGTCACCTTTACACGACAATTTTAGCCCTACTGACGATGACTCGGACAGCGCTAGTGCATGCAAGAAAGACTCTAACCCTGGATTTGTAGACAAATTACCGGAATCTACTAGTCCTTCATCGGGCTCTTCTAGTTCAGCTAAATCATCCATTCGTGAGGGAGGACCTGGTCAAGACAACTTAAGAACAAGCGGTGCCTGTCCAGCACAACACAATCATGATGTCGGCCATGAGTGTATGCAGCACAAGGTTTGTCCTCATTGCCAGCCTCGTTGCCACTGCCCGGAGGTGTCTAACAATGCTACCCTCAAAGCTAAAGACAGGAGGGCGTGTTTGAACCGAGGCGTAAATAAGAAACATAACAGGGCACACACGTGGGAAAGGGGCGCCTTAAATGGCGATGAAGGGTCGTGGAATGCCATGCCCAAATGTCCGAAAATTGACAACCTTATCCTCGTCGAGCCTGAGACAGTTGCCCATTTTGATCCGGTCAAAAAAGCCCAGTTACGAAGGGATGTTTCCGACTGCCTCAAGGAGGAGATGATGAGAGCGAAAGCCTGTGTTGAAAGGGAGACAAACCGCCACCGGAGTTATTTTAATTACAAGGGGAAAGAAATTCTGCTCGACCCGCGATCACGTGGGAAAGTGGAGAAAGTAGATCATCGAAATGAGAATTATCTGAATCGCCTTGACGACATTCTAAAAAAGAAATGCATCGTAGAGGAAGACGAGCAGACCACGCACTGGGGCAAACACGGGAACGCGGAGAGACCTGGGTGCGCGTCCAGCAGAAGGAGAAGCCGCTCGTCCGGCAAGCAGCGGAAGAAATGCTATGGCAAATTGAAACATCAGTTGATGAATTTCCCCAGATCTGACAAACTTTCAGTTTTCGAGCGGCTTTATCAAGACGCGAAGCACATCAAGTACGCAAACCGAGAAAAAGACAACGGCGCCGTTAATCGTGAAATAAAATATAAAAGGCACGTTTGCGGTCATGATGACATGGGCGGCACCCCATTCTCCCACCGAAGGTCGGGCGAATCGTCCCCACACTCATGCCACCACCTGAACCGGGGCGCAGAAGACCCACGGGGAAGCTGTTCGTTTAACGCGTTCAAACACGATGAAGGCGACGTTGATGAAAAGCGCAGACGATTCAACGAAAAGCAGCTCGAGTTTTTGGAAAATCTGCCAGAAGACTTTACAGTGCAAGAGTCAAAGTCTCTCATCAAAGCCATCGTGTCCATCATCCAGCGCAGATTTTCAAACGAGTCTAAACAGAAAGACAACAGGATCGAAACCAAGCACCATGGCGGGGAGCGTGACTTCTGGAAAGAAAATGGCCCAGATATAGGCAGAGCGGCTGAAAAGCAATCTGCTCCTAAAATCATCTACTCAACACGGGCATCTGACGTCGCTAGAAGTGTCTTCCACGGGGGTCCTCTGAAAGCTTCAGCCTCTGGTCAGTTTTCTAAGAGTAAATATACAGAGCCCAAAAATATAATTCTTGATGACGTAGCAGCGTCGTCCAAGACCAATGGTCACGTGACAAACACCGGGAAAGTACCATCCGACACGTGCTTGTCAACACGAGCTCTGCGAGTCGATAGATACAATTTGAGGGAGGAAATAGATAATATTGTTCGACCAAAACATAACAAACTGGACACCATGCCCTTGAGCAAGTACGGCTCATCTTTGGCTACATGTCACGTGTTACGAGACTCCAGCCCGACATTTAAATACAGAGATCTTCTGACAAGTGGCGCCCCCCTTCCCAAGACAAGGGCAAAGGACGGCATCAGAACCTTTGCATTCGACAACGACGACACGGCGGTGAGATCGTTCAAGTTTCCTTTCAAGACAAGTTTGACGTCGAGGACGCCGTTCTCTTTTGAAGTGGATGCGCCCCTGACAAGCACCAACGCATCGTACAACAGATCCCTTCCATTTCCTGCACTGATCACTTCTAAAAACAGCCGACTGCGCACGCGATCCGAAACTCTGATAAAATCCAATCCATACCTGGACCTTGATCCGCAAGCTTCGTTTTTCAATCCCATCCCACACGACGACACACTGATGGACTACCCGACGATACCCAAATCATCAGCTTTCATCAAAGACAGGACATTTTCGGGCAACTTTTCGGGCGGGGCGAAGAGTTCTTTCTTGAGAATGATGGAAGACAACGGCCCCCAGAAATGCTGGCTGGACAAGGTCAACGACGAGCAGCAGAAGTTTGTGGACATATCGAAGGGATTGGATCGTTGCACCTTCCCCAGAACAGGAACTAAATGCTTCGATCAGCTTCGTGGAAGCGACCCCTTTCATCTGCAGGATTATGGGGTGTCCCCCAAGCCGTGCCCACACGATGTCACTTCGATTGTCAGTCGTTACGGTGGTGATGTCTACGTTAAGCGAGAAACGCGAGGTTTACACCGTGACCTACCCAGCGATAGCTTCAAAGCCGCGAGACACAGTAGACAACGGTCGGCTTTGCAGGGTGTCAAGGTTAGTGACACACTTCGTGAGGCCTGCCTTGAGAACATCGCCAGTTTGAAGAGTTTTAATTCGGGCTTAGTGAATGCGGGGACAAATAAGCGATTTTCAATCAGCAATTCGTTGGACCGTGACAGTGGTGAATTTGAGACCGAACATTCAAAGTTTGATCTCGAGTCGTTCAAGAGAGCTAGAAGGAAACGTGACAGATTTGACAGTTCTACGACTCGTATTGACAGCATATGGGGGCCAACGTTGGGGGTACACGGGGACTTGGATGATTTAGATGCACTGTCTTGCTCTGCGGATACAATTGACACTGCTAATACTTCAATGACCGCCCGTCTGACAGAATTAAACCAACGCTTTCACAACAGCTCCATTGATGACTGGGAGAACAGGTATTGCAAAGAAAACAACACTTCCAATATGACTGAACACAGTGCAAAAAGATTAGTGACGCATCAAGGGGGGAAGTTGCATGAAGATTTTAATACGAGAGTTGAGCCAAGAGTTGAGCCAAGAGTTGAGCCAAGAGTTGAGCCAAGAGTTGAGCCAAGAGTTGAGCCAAGTCCAGAGATAATTGAAATAAGTGCGCATAAAACACCATCCACTCCGGCGGTAGAATTATTTGAATCTGCTAGCACCCAGACCTCTGAAAACGGTAAGGTTGAAGCATCCCCAGGACATTACGTCCCGAGAACCCCTGATGACACAAACGCAGAGCCTCTGACTGTCCAGAAAAACTTGACGACACAAGCGAATCCAGCCAAAGATAAGTCACCAAACAGTTCCCACACCAGTGACAGTTCCTGCACCACGCCATCCATGTTACAGAGCCATGCCGTGGGCTCCAAACCGATTCCGGTTGTAGGTGAATCTTTCAAAGGGCCATTCTTGGCGGGAAGATGTCCTGACATTGCCACCCACAGCCTGGTGAATGTGGATAAGCCAGACCTGGGGAAAGCCCTTGCGATCCTCGAGAACTTCTCCCCTATCAAACCCGTGGACATTCACACCAAGTACCCCCTCCTCCTCTCGCGCAGACTCGCGTCACAGCCGAATGACTCCGGAACGTCCGATGACAACAGCACCTGGACAGGGGTGAGCGGGTCATCGTCCCCTCTATACAAACACCCAAGTAAAGATAGACAGTGCTCCAACATTAGTCACCAGGCATCGGCTCACGACGCCAACAGATCCCAACCAAACGATATCAGGAGTAACTGCCCAGGTCAGGACGTTGACCCAAAGATATCGAGTAAAAAATCTAACGATTGGTCTGAGCTTGGTGCTCTCCGTGGGATGTCTGCTCTTCAGTCTACTGACCCTTTAGATGAGATGTTAGCCCATTTGGGATCACGGCGTACACAACGTCGTGAGACTTTTCAACAAGAAGATCCCATGGAAAGTCAGAAGCAGTGCGAACCGCATGGAGCCAGTGATTTAAGTGTATCTTCAAAATCTGCTGCGTTGGAGCCCAGTGCCGAGGCAATAATATCAAGAATCATGAAATCCCGCAGGGATCAATTTGGCATATCACTTGCACACCCACCAACCGGAAACAGAAGCTCCAACGATATCGAAAGTAACAAAACGTTGTTAGACGGAGATCCTGACAATCCAAACAGCTCCTTGAATCGCACCCTGGATTCTGACACGTCTTCAGACAGACCGCCCAGCCTAGCGGGCAATCAGCAACATGACAGCTCAGTGGACGGGGAAGCTAAAACATCGTCTGACGTCATTCAGCAGAAGAGTGTGCAGCAGGGGCATGCAACGAGGCAGGTGACCGGGGAGAAGAGTGTACAGCAGGGACATGCATCAAGGCAGGCGACCGGGGACAACGTGAGACTGGATAATGCTCCAGAGATGAACGCCAGAAGCACATCAAATGATGGCATCAGATCCGATGGTAGTGGCGATACGTTGACCGAATCGGGTACCGGGCACGCTGAGATTGTCAGGCACGCCCCCGACTCATTGACGGCGTCAAATAACGGCAGACGTAATATGAAAGAATCGTTGCCCACTCTAAAGAGTTCATCTGTGAAAATAATGTCTGACCAGCTGGACTCGGCTATAAGTAGACACATCGAAAATAGAACGTTGAAGTCGACTGCTTCAAAAATCATGGTGATTGACCTAAAACGGGCGAAATCTGCCAAGAATGCAGCCAGCTTTTCCAAAACTAATCTTAAATGTGTGAACAGTATAAAGTCAGATGTATACAAACCGCCAATGTGCTCCGAGATAGCCGCTGTCCGTTCATGTCAGGTGAAACCACGGGACACCCATGTGAAATCTGGGTCATACAACGCTAACTGCCTGGAAGACTTGAAACACCAGAAGGACATCGTTGTGATCGACGTCCTCTCTGAGCCCCCCGGGACCCCTGAGCCTGTCACGGTCAAAGCGTACGCTGTCAACTCTGGGGTCCCCGTGAAGGTCAAGAACTACCAAACCAGAGTATCTTCCCCAAGGTTTGTTGTACGGACGCTAGACTCCAAGGCTTCGGTCTGCGGAAACATGTGCCGCAAGTCCGCGCAGGGAAAGGGAATGAGCGGATCTCAAAGCACGAGGCTCAAAAAGGCCCCTGCTTTGAAGTCGGTCCAGTTTAACTGTCCGCAAGACAACAGAAAAGTTGGCGTGAAGTTGATTCCCCAATCGTACACCATCTGCGCGAACAATAACAGCAAGAAGCCGTTGCATTCAGACGGTGTCACCTTCAAATCAGATCTCGTCTGTTCCAACAGACGTTGGATCGAGGCGAGCGGAAGTGACTCGTCGGTAACCTGTTCCGACCATTTAACAGACGATACCCACGACACGTCATCGAAAGATGAAGACGACGAGACGAGTGAAGTCAGTAACGACGACTGCGGTGACCACAATAACTGTAACGTGTATTACCTTTGTAACGGCGACAACAACAGTAGAACTGGCGACAGCATGGTGTTTACTATAGAGTTGTATCAATTTATGTGTAAGTTTCACAAAACAGGTTTCGTGTTTTCTGCTGGGTTTTTGAGAAGTCAAAATCAATTTATTTATGACTGCTTACTCTGATATTTCTTGTAATCATGTCAATTCTTAATTACTGCTGAATAATTTTGAGCCAAGTCAAGAGGTAATTAAAATAAATGCGCATTAAATAAACACCATCAGCTCCGACCGTAGAATTATTTGAATCTGCTAGCACTCAGACCTCTGAACACGGTAAGGGTGAAACATCCCCAGGGAGAGAGTGATAGGAAAAGTAAGAACAGAGAAAATAAGGAATTCTATGATGCACTTGTTTACTGTGGCTAAGAAGGGAGAAGAAGACACATTTACAGTTTTGGGCCCTTTCGACACACCGTGTTTACAAATATTCAAAATGTTCAGTATCTACGACGTATGTCCGTCTCGTGACATTGCCATAAAATTTGTATTCGGTTCAATAACCTCTGAACCAGCTGCAGGAAATTATTTAGTGTTAAACCATTTAGCTTTCTTTATATCTCAGTGTCAACATTTCACAAAAGCGAATTTTAATAAAGTCTCATTGTTTGTCACGTCGTTAACTCTCATTGAAAGTCGCGTTAACTCTCATTGTGTGTTAACTTTCATTGTATGTCACGTCGGAAACTTTCATTGTATGTCACGTCGGAAACTTTCATTGTATGTCACGTCGGAAACTTTCATTGTATGTCACGTCGGAAACTTTCATTGTATGTCACGTCGGAAACTTTCATTCTATGTAACATTAAGTCTCAGTGTATGCCACATTAAGTCTCATTGTATGTCACATTACGTCTCATTGTGTGTCACAACTTTCATTGTATGTTAACTTTCATTGTATGTCACATTAAGTCTCATTGTATCTCACGTCGTTAAGTCTCATTGAAAGTCACGTTAAGTCTCAATCTAAGTCACTTTTAAGCATTGTATAAGTCATGTTCACACAAAAAGCTTCCACCCTCGTCTTTTCATTGACATTTCCAAGTATCACCTATAAGTTAACTTGAATCATGTCTTTAGATCCAAGTTGTATCATGTCTTTAAATCTGACGTGTATCATGTCTTTAAACCTGACTTGTATCATGACTTTGACCTGAATTGTATCGTATCTTGAACCTGACTTGTATCTTTTCTTTCAGACGACAGTACGAAATGTCGACCAAGTTTAAAACTACTTGGTGAGCTGGCCTTCCAGTTGGAGAGAAGAATTCTTGATTACGTATTTGGGATGGTGAGTTGTGAGGCCTGTATGTGGGAGGGTGGGTTGTGAGGCCTGTGTGTGGGAGGGTGGGTTGTGAGGCCTGTATGTGGGAGGGTGGGTTGTGAGGCCTGTATGTGGGAGGGTGGGTTGTGAGGCCTGTATGTGGGAGGGTGGGTTGTGGGGCCTGTATGTGGGAGGGTGGGTTGTGAGGCCTGTATGTGGGAGGGTGGGTTGTGAGGCCTGTATGTGGGAGGGTGGGTTGTGAGGCCTGTATGTGGGAGGGTGGGTTGTGAGGCCTGTGTCTGTACGCCAAATATCAATTTTTATGTAATCTTAACCGCGATGTAACAGGTGGGAAATATAGATGTTAGATAAAGGTGTTAGATATAGATGGTAGATATAGGTGGTAGATATAGGTGATAGATAGATATAGGTGATTGATTTAGATGGTAGATATAGGTGTCGATATAGATGGTAGATATAGAATAATATAGATGGTAGATATAGGTGAAATAGTTATAGTTATAGGTGATAGATATAGATGGTAGATATCGATGGCATATATAGATGGTAGATATAGGTGGTAGATATGGGTGGTAGATATAGATGGTTGATATAGTTTGCATTCCCTTCTCCATAAAAATCACCTTCATACACTTAAACGCTACAACCCCAACATCAGGGGGCGACATATAAGAGGGTCGTGGTGGGGGGTGGATTCGTCATGATATTTTTACGGACACAAAATGAACTAAATGTTTGAAAATCTATCGATTTAATGTGTACCAAATGGCTTTCACAACTGTTTGAAGGAGGACTCCAAGCGTCGCCGATTCTATGGTTACACAGTGAGTAACATTTTCTCCATGATGGAGCGCGAGACGAAATTCCCTAAAGGCGGAAGTGACGTCATAACTAAAAGCGAGCTAGCGGGAAGGCTTAAGAAATTGCTTCAAGCTTTAGAGAGATATGGCTACAACATAAAGGTAAGGCTTGTGACGTGTGATGTGGCAATTCTTTTCTATTTATACTTGTCTCCATGTCGTTTGTAACATTTTAATTTCAAAATTATCATTGGGCGTAGCAGTCATAATCGAGACTTCTCTTTAAGCATACTTGTTTTTTTCATTAAAATGTCAAGAGCAATCAATTATTGTTACATCATTCCTAACGAAACTCATCTGTCCCAAACTCCATTGTTGTTGATTTTGCTTCTTGTTGTTTTGGGTTTTGTTGTTTTGTTGGTTTTTTTTTTGTTTGTTGCTTTTTGTCTTACTTCCGAAGTCTATTGTTGCTGGGGATTTTGTCAAGCCAACATTTGTTGGTTAGGAATCTCCTCAAAGAAGAAACCTTGCATGGTCAGGTGGAATGGTCAAAGCTTTTGATAGTCACAATTTAGTATGAAAACCTAATGTGTCATATTTGCATACAGCCAAAGGGTACTAGTTTTTAGCAGTAAATTCATCTACTTCATCAACTACTTGTCAAAAGTCATCCTTTTCATCCACTGCTTGTGAACATCATCTCCTCAGACTCATGGAGAATTCGCCCAGGAGATGGTCAACAAATACGGCCTGCTAGCCTGCCCTCCAGATGAGAGCACCATTGCACAGTTTGGCCTCAACGATCCCAACGCAATAGCTCACCTCATCCAACAGTTGGCCCAAGGTCCCAGTGAGATCGGCAGCCTCACGGTGCTACTCAACAGTCTCAAATACCTATCCAAATGTGATCAGAGACCATTGTTCATATGGTGACGCGGTTCCCTGTTCCCCCCCCCCATCTCCCCCCCCCCCGTCAACTATTTGAAATACCCAACTGTCAACTTATCCACATACTAAAACATGTTGAGTCCATAGTGTTGTTTGCTTGAATCCATTCTGTTTAAGCAAATAAAGTAACAAATGAATTCATGAAGAGATCTTAGGAGTTTGGCATAATCCCTGGGATGATGGTCAAATCAATTGAATTCTAAGACTTGTATTTTGCGTGTCTCCATAGCCTAACATTTATTGTATTCAAACAGCCAAAATTCTCCAACTAAGCTTTCTCTGGCATAACATCAAAGGAGAAGTTAATGTTCATACAACAAGTTTTGTTACTGTCATCTGATGATCTTGTATTCAATAAATGGCTGACAAATACAATAAAATAAGGTCAGAGTAGAAATAGAGAAATTGTATTTTTTTTATTCTTGAATTCACAACTGTCTACCAGCCATGGTTGTCTCTCTGAAGTTCAGCATTGTCTGTCTGCCAGCCATGATTGTCTCTCTGCAAGTCATATTTGTCTGTCTGTAAGCTGCTGTTGTCTGCAAGCTGTCATTGTCTGTCTGGAAGCTGTGGTCTGTCTGCAAGCCTAGGTTGACCATTAGTGAGCCATGGTTATCTGTTGTCCTCATCCAGGAGAAAGTCAGATATGTGTTGTTTGATGTCGTCTCTGTACAGATGGAAATTGTGAGAAAATTACTGCATTAATAAATACAAATACTTTAGTTGTAATGGTATCAAAAACAACTACTATAGTTTTAATGGTATCAAATACAACTACCATAGTTGTAATGGTATCAAATACAACTACTATAGTTGTAATGGTATCAAATACAAATACCATAGTTGTAATGGTATCAAATACAACTACTATAGTTGTAATGGTATCAAATACAACTACCATAGTTGTAATGGTATCAAATACAACTACTATAGTTGTAATGGTATCAAATACAAATACCATAGTTGTAATGGTATCAAATACAACTACTATAGTTGTAATGGTATCAAATACAAATACCATAGTTGTAATGGTATCAAATACAACTACTATAGTTGTAATGGTATCAAATACAAATACTATAACAAGGGCCCTCTCACCAACAGGTAGACACACAAATCCCGCTCTCCTATGGCCTGAATACAACAGCTGTAGTTGTAAAGGTATTAAATAATAAAATTGCTGCAAGCTGCTGTTGTGGTATTTGATACAATTTGGTAGCTGTAATACCATAAGGTAACATCCTTTCCTTGGTATGTGAGAGATTTCAATTTAATTCAAATGTACCCATAAAAAAAATTTACATAGATATTTATATGTGTGTATTAAGAGTGACAAGTGAGTTCACTATTCACATATACAGGGGATATTTACTTATGGGCCATAGAATTGAAAAAAAAAGCTAAGAAACCTAATGACAGAATCTAATCAAATGGAACACTGTTACATGACCTGACTTTTAACACCTGACTTTAAACACATTGATGATTTTACAAGTGGCAGCCAGGAGTCTCATAAATAACACAAAAATTACTAATGACCCTGGGGTGTGCTAGTAAATAAAAAAATGCTAATATTGACACATGCTGCAAAAGTTATGACACACAAACATCAATTTATGATGACTCTGCCATTGTCTTGGTTTCATCACTGATTTAAAATGTAAATACTGGTACAAGTGGGAATAGGTACTCTTACCAGATTTTTGTGAGTTACTGCCCTTTAGACTAAGCTTTTAATGCAATTGTTACTATGTCATATTCCACAAATCAAAGATAAAAATTCACCATCTGTATTTTGCCACAAATAATTTTTGCATTCATTTTTTTTTTAGGATGACTTTATCATTCATGACTAGTTAAGTACAAATTGTTAGGTATTAAAAAAGGCATTGTCTAAGAGATTGTAAGACAAATTGAGAAGAAAACACCTCTTACAGTTGAGTCATATGCACTGCACGCTGTCTTACAAACGTTGGGAGCCTCCTCAAATCATCACCCTGAAACAAAACAAATTGTAACACCTTTGTAACAATTGTCTGTGCATTAATATTGGCAACCAAACTTCATGCTTACGTAAACCCTTTGATGACCTAATCCAAGGGAACAATTCCATTGAGACATCTAAACGGTCATTTTGTTGTTGATTGTTTCCTCATCTATGCCTAGGGTGGCCACTCCTCTGACCTCATGTAAGCCTGGGGTGGCCACTCCTCATGTAAGCCTGGGGTGGCCACTCCTCATGTAAGCCTGGGGTGGCCACTCCTCATGTAAGCCTGGGGTGGCCACTCATCTAAGCCTGTAGTGGCCACTCTTCATGTAAGCCTGGGGTTGCCACTCCTCATGTGAGCCTGGGGTGGCCACTCCTCATCTAAGTCTGGGGTGGCCACTCCTCATCTAAGCCTGGGGTGGCCACTCCTCATCTAAGCCTGGGGTGGCCACTCCTCATGTAAGTCTGGGGTGGCCACTCATCTAAGCCTGTAGTGGCCACTCTTCATGTAAGCCTTGGGTTGCCACTCCTCATCTAAGTCTGGGGTGGCCACTCCTCATCTAAGTCTGGGGTGGCCACTCTTCATGTAAGCCTGGGGTTGCCACTCCTCATGTAAGCCTGGGGTGGCCACTCCTCATCTAAGTCTGGGGTGGCCACTCCTCATGTAAGCCTGGGGTGGCCACTCCTAATGTAAGCCTGGGGTGGCCACTCTTCATGTAAGTCTGGGGTGGCCACTCCTCATCTAAGCCTGGGGTGGCCACTCCTTGTGTAAGCCTGGGGTGGCCACTCCTCATGTAAGCCTGGGATGGCCACTCCTCATCTAAGCCTGGGGTGGCCACTCCTCATCTAAGCCTGGGGTGGCCACTCCTCATGTAAGTCAGGGTGGCCACTCCTCATGTAAGTCTGGGGTGGCCACTCCTCATGTAAGTCTGGGTGGCCACTCCTCATGAAAGCCTGGGGTGGCCACTCCTCATTCAAGCCAGGGGTGACAACTCCTCATCTAAGCCCGCTCTTCTCAAATGTATCACATTTCATTATTATTCTATCCTCTTAAATTGTTCTCCTTCTACTGCAGATAGCAATGGACCAGTGTCCACAAATTAGTTTAAAAGAAATTGAGTCGACGGAAAACTGATCAACAGAAAACTGATCAACAGAAGTATGGTCAAAAGCTAATTTGGTCGAATCTATATGTTGTGATTGTTGTTGGCCTCCTTGTCTGAACTGACCCTTGTTGAAATCACACAAAATAAATAAAAACAAGGAGTTGATGGCTGCATGTACGTGAAAGAGAAGCTGCGTGACGATACAATTCATTTGAAATGCAAAAACGTTAAAATAACATCGTATCCATGTTGAATTGTAACTGTTAACTTGGCTTAATAAAACAAAGCAAAGAATAATATCATGCATCTGACTGATCCAACATATTGCTGATTGATGCAACATATTGCTGATTGATCCAACACATTGCTGATTGATCCAAAATATTGCTGATTGATCCAACATATTGCTGATTGATACAACACATTGCTGATTGATCCAACATATTGCTGATTGAACCAACATATTGCTGATTGATCCAAAATATTGCTGATTGATCCAACATATTGCTGATTGATCCAACATATTGCTGATTGATCCAACACATTGCTGATTGATCCAACATATTGAAGTCAGTTAAAAAATGACCAGGATTAAAAGTGATGCCGTAACTACATGTGACTCTTCTCAAGTGATGCCGTAACTACATGTGACTCTTCTCATGTGATGCCGTAACTACATGTGACTCTTCTCAAGTGATGCCGTAACTACATGTGACTCTTCTCATGTGATGCCGTAACTACATGTGACTCTTCTCAAGTGATGCCGTAACTACATGTGACTCTTCTCATGTGATGCCGTAACTACATGTGACTCTTCTCATGTGATGCTGTAACTACATGTGACTTGTCTCATGTGATGCCGTAACTACATGTGACTCATCGCATGTGATGCTGTAACTACATGTGACTTGTCTCATGTGATGCCGTAACTACATGTGACTCATCGCATGTGATGCCGTAACTACATGTGACTCTTCTCATGTGATGCCGTAACTACATGTGACTTGTCTCATGTGATGCCGTAACTACATGTGACTTGTCTCATGTGATGCTGTAACTACATGTGACTTGTCTCATGTGATGCCGTAACTACATGTGACTTGTCTCATGTGATGCCGTAACTACATGTGACTTGTCTCATGTGATGCTGTAACTACATGTGACTTGTCTCATGTGATGCTGTAACTACATGTGACTTGTCTCATGTGATGCCGTAACTACATGTGACTTGTCTCATGTGATGCTGTAACAAGATGTGATCTAAGCTTGCCAATAAACATCTCTTACAGTCATCATAGAGTATCAATGATCTAAGCTTGCCAATAAACATCTCTTACAGTCATATTTGCGAAAATAAAAATTTAGTCATTTAGATTTTTCTATTAAGAATAGTAGTAAGCGTCAGCAGTTAACTGGTTGTTAGGTGAGCTAAAACAGTACATGGCATGTAGGGTAAGGGAGCTAAAATCTGTACAAGACAGACTGGGTCAGGTAACTAAAGACTGTATCAGACAGATTGGGTCAAGTATCTAAAGACTGTACAAGACAGATTGGGTCAGGTAACTAAAGACTGTACAAGACAGATTGGGTCAAGTATCTAAAGACTGTACAAGACAGATTGGGTCAGGTAACTAAAGACTCTACAAGACAGATTGGGTCAGGTAACTAAAGACTGTACAAGACAGATTGGGTCAGGTAACTAAAGACTGTACCAGACAGATTGGGTCAAGTATCTAAAGACTGTACAAGACAGATTGGGTCAGGTAACTAAAGACTGTACAAGACAGATTGGGTCAGGTATCTAAAGACTGTACAAGACAGATTGGGTCAGGTAACTAAAGACTGTACCAGACAGGTTGGGTCAAGTAACTAAAGACTGTACAAGACAGATTGGGTCAGGTAACTAAAGACTGTACCAGACAGGTTGGGTCAAGTATCTAAAGACTGTACAAGACAGACTGGGTCAGGTAACTAAAGACTGTACCAGACAGATTGGGTCAAGTATCTAAAGACTGTACAAGACAGACTGGGTCAGGTAACTAAAGACTGTACCAGACAGATTGGGTCAAGTATCTAAAGACTGTACAAGACAGATTGGGTCAGGTAACTAAAGACTGTACAAGACAGATTGGGTCAGGTAACTAAAGACTGTACCAGACAGAGTCGGTCAGGTAACTAAAGACTGTACCAGACAGATTGGGTCAGGTAACTAAAGACTGTACAAGACAGATTGGGTCGGGTAACTAAAGACTGTACAAGACAGATTGGGTCAGATAACTAAAGACTGTACAAGACAGATTGGGTCAGGTAACTAAAGACTGTACAAGACAGATTGGGTCAGGTAACTAAAGACTGTACCAGACAGGTTGGGTCAGGTAACTAAAGACTGTACAAGACAGATTGGGTCAGGTAACTAAAGACTGTACAAGACAGATTGGGTAAGGACATGTCAATAAAATGGTGGGCTCAGTGCAATGTGATCATCAGAAATTGATTAAAGTTAAGCTCTTAGTTAAATAGATAAGGATGAAATTTAAATTCAAACACTAACAATAAATTGTCCTAAGATTAACTCTTGAATAACTACACAGTTGTAACTCAGTGTAACCATCTTAAACTTATAGGCAGACCTAACAATAGATTGTCCTAAGATTAACTCTTGAATAACTACGGTTTAAAAACCTTGTCATGAAGAAGTCCTTGACTTGGTTACAGTGAACAAATGTTGTACTTACATAGTTGTGAAGAGACAGCCGACACCCATAGCACAGACAGTCCATCAGATTGTTCTGGAAGCTGAAGAAAGGATCATTGAACACTGACTTGAATATTGCCCAAGACAAAACCCTGGGGTCACAAGACCTTTAAGTTTATTCATTGCTCAACAGGTAGCTCTTATAAATAAGGTGTTTTCAATGGACAGTCTTACTAGTGACAATGCGGGAGTCCCCAATATGTACCGGTAGCCCTGTTAAACAAGTTACCTGTTATCTCCCTTATCCCGGCAACAGTTGTCTCCCCCTCCAGTGGGTTTTTTTTCTGTGGGATGTGAACGTGACATCTTCTGGGAAAACTCTATGGCTTTCAGTGCGGATGAGGGGCCCGTCCTCGTATCAAGTGGTGACTGAAATTAGTGAAAATTCAGTTTATCATTGGGTGATTTCAGCACAGAAATTTGGCATGTAATGAAATGGTTCAACAAACTCAGCACAGAAATGAGACATGTAATGAAATGGTTTAACAAACTCAGCACAGAAATTTGACATGTAATGAAATGGTTTAACAAGCTCAGCACAGAAATGAGACATGTAATGAAATGGTTTAACAAGCTCAGCACAGAAATGTGACATGTAATGAAATGATTTAACAAGCTCAGCACAGAAATGAGACATGTAATGAAATGGTTTAACAAGCTCAGCACAGAAATGTGACATGTAATGAAATGGTTCAACAAACTCAGCACAGAAATGTGACATCCCTGATTTATCAATTATTTAGCACAAAGAATTTTTACAAAAATGTTGTAGTTGAAAATGGATGTGTTGATCAATAATTATCAATTTCAAACACATTATTTATAACAATATATTAGTGAACAAATTCCTTACATTGAAAACCACCACAATCCTAATTTAAAGACTTCTTAGATTGTGTTCTAGAATTTCTTAGTCATGTTTTCGTTTTGAATTTAATAAGTTCCTGTCAAGCTTTACAGCAGCAAGCTGAGTTCTGATTTTCTTAATCTTTTTTTCTTGTATTGTATTTGCTGTTGAATGCTTCCAGGTAATTGTCAATTGTCTTGTACATTTATTCAAGCTGTCACCTATTATGTTCTTACATCTTCAAACAGGAAGACCACATCATTTTCACTATTTAATTCACCAATTTCTACTTTGATGAGTTGCCATGTTTATGTACCAAAGATGTGATGGATAACTTCTTACATATAACCCCATCAATTTGATCACAGTAAAGCAGAAGTATTCATTACTTACCATACACAGACAACACTTCTTACATGTAAACCCCATCAATTTGATCACAGTAAAGCAAAAGTATTCATTACTTACCATACACAGACAACACTTCTTACATGTAAACCCCATCAATTTGATCACAGTAAAGCAGAAGTATTCATTACTTACCATACACAGACAACACTTCTTACATGTAAACCCCATCAATTTGATCACAGTAAAGCAAAAGTATTCATTACTTACCATACACAGACAACACTTCTTACATGTAAACCCCATCAATTTGATCACAGTAAAGCAAAAGTATTCATTACTTACCATACACAGACAACACTTTGGACAGGTCTCTGTGTTAGCAAGTCCCAGCTTTTCTGAAGTTCTGGAACAAACGAAGGCAGACATAGTCTTAGGTGATTAATGAGAATGAAGGCAGACATTGTCTGAGGTGGTAATTGAGAATGAAGGCAGACATTGTCTCAGGTGATTCATGAGAATGAAGGCAGACATTGTCTGAGGTGATTAATGAGAATGAAGGCAGACATTGTCTTAGGTGAATAATTAGCATTCAAACAGTGTTTATTTCAATGATAGTTTGTAAAGATGCTTGATATAAAAAAATTCAATTACAGGTAATAACAATGTCAAAATAGCATAAAAACAAACCTCTTAATGTTGCTGACGGTCGATGGGAAGTCAGCCTGTAATCCCATCACAAATGTCTCTGTCAACTTTTCAATTGTGGAACTTAAGGAAGTCTGTCAAATGTATGAATGGAATGTGACAACATTTCAATATCATAAAGACAATTTAAAAATGTTATCATTCATTGTTAAAAGTTTATCACATATTAGCCAAACAATATTAAATTGGTTTTTCTTCATTTTTATTTTTAAAATTATGATGTAATTGTGATTAATTTTGAAAAGGAAAATTTATTGGGGAGAGTTATTTTTTCCTTTAATTCTTTCTTTCTAGGAAGATGTTAAACAGGGTGGTGGAGAGCAAGCAGCATTGTCGTACTCCAACCGTGGTCTTGAACCGATGTTGTTGTTCTTGAAGAAGACTGCACTGGTGGCCTTATCATGGAGGTTGCATATAATGATGATAATGAATTTTCCCTTAACTTTTATGGGTAATTAAAAACTTAACTACTGCACACAAAACAATTTGGTCAACAATTTTTTTGTGACCAAATTTTTTTTTTATTTTTGGACCAAATTTATTTTGAGTCTACACATCAAATGTCTTTAGAACAGTGTCATGCAGTGATGAGTCTACAAAAAAATTTGGTCTAAAAAAAAAAGAAAAGTTTTTAAAAGTTCTGACCAAAAAAAAAAAAAAAAAAATTTGGTATAAAAAAAAAAAAAAAGTTTTTAAAAGTTCTAACCAAAAAAAAAAAAAAAACAATTTGGTCACAACCCATCTGAAAATAGCAGAGGGTTTCATTTGATTTGTAATGTTTAAAAAAATACTTTATCATGCTAGCAAGGTTGATGGACTTTGTCCCCTTTAAAAAAATTTGGTCTAAAAAAAAAAAAAAAATTTTTAAAAGTTCTGACAAAAAAAAAAAAAAAAAACAATTTGGTCACAACCCATCTGAAAATAGCAGAGGGTTTCATTTGATTTGTAATGTTTAAAAAAATACTTTATCATGCTAGCAAGGTTGATGGACTTTGTCCCCTTGTCATTTAAATAGATTGATACCAATATAAAGTCTACCTTTGATGCTTTAGTTGGAATAAAAACACTTTTGACATTAAAGAGCTTGTTGAACATGGCGAGATCTTTAGAGTTGAGATCTCTGTGGATGAGAGAAAGTATGAGAGAACGTATGATGAGAGAACGTGAACACACCTCATCACTTTAGAGCTTCTCCACATCTCTGCCTATCAATTAAATCAACAGTTCCAGCCATGTACATGCAAAAACTAAGCTCAATTCATTTATCAACTTCATCAAAAACATTCAACTTATCAATCACTAATACTCTACTTATATTCTTTTTACTACCAGTTAGAGCAGCAGTTCCCAAACTGTGAACTAGGGATCCTAAAGGGATCCGCAGAAAAATCTCCAAATAAATTTTTTAAACCGATTTCAAATTATAAAAGCACTTAAGAAAATGTTGTAGCAGAAATGATTTCATCTGCCAATTGGACAGTCAAAAGCAGGTTCACACAAAAACTTTGCTGTACATTGATCTAAAACTGACCAGGGATGTCTAGTGAGTCAACAAATGAACATATGTGAGTGCATTCATCAATGTGCTGTGACTGCATCAATGTGTTGGTAGATAAGACCGTGAGTCTTGAATGTGGTGTGACTGCATGAATGTGTTGGTAGATAAGACCATGAGTCTTGAATGTGGTGTGACTGCATGAATGTGTTGGTAGATAAGACCATGAGTCTTGAATGTGGTGTGACTGCATGAATGTGTTGGTAGATAAGACCGTGAGTCTTGAATGTGGTGTGACTGCATGAATGTGTTGGTAGATAAGACCATGAGTCTTGAATGTGGTGTGACTGCATGAATGTGTTGGTAGATAAGACCGTGAGTCTTGAATGTGGTATGACTGCATGAATGTGTTGGTAGATAAGACCATGAGTCTTGAATGTGGTGTGACTGCATGAATGTGTTGGTAGATAAGACCGTGAGTCTTGAATGTGGTGTGACTGCATGAATGTGTTGGTAGATAAGACCATGAGTCTTGAATGCCTTACCTGACAGGTCTAATGATCATGACATCACCATTTCTGGTATCAGAGAATCCCTGAGTGGAAACAATAAACAACTCATTGATCTTTGCTAAGCAATTCTAAAGGGAGATTCATTTTAGAATTGGATCACTTCAGTTCTATAGGGGTACTTGGTCAATTAAATGTCGGTACTTGTTAAATTAAGTATCTATACTTGGTAAATTAGGTGCCTATGCTTCAGTAAAGTAAGTGTCTAGACTAGGGAAATAAAATGCCTATATTGGTAAATTAAGTGTATATACTTTGTAAATAAGGTGCCTATACATGGCAAATAAGTGTCTATGCTTGGTAAATTAGGTGCCTATGCTTGGCAAATAAGTGTCTATACTTGGTAAATCAGATGCCTCTACTTGGTAACTTAGTGTTTATACTTGGTAAATAAGTGTCTATACTTGGTAAATTAGGTGTCTAAACTTGCTAACTCACTGTATTGAGGGAAACCTGAGAACCTCTGCCCTGGGCGACGTCTGCTAGAATCTCAACTGCCATTCGTGTAGAGCTCTCTGCTGTTAGGACTTTAGTGATGCACAAGTTCCTGGCTGTGGCCACTAGCAGTTGGTTTCTATAAATAGACATAACCTACATATCAAATGTCTCGAGCACATTGCTAACTAGTGATGAGTCTACATATCAAATGTCTCTAGTACAGTATCATGTAGTGATGATTCTACATATCAAATGTCTCTAGTACAGTGTCATGTAGTGATGATTCTACATATCAAATGTCTCTAGAACAGTGTCATCTAGTGATGAGTCTACATATCAAATGTCTCTAGTACAGTGTCATCTAGTGATGATTCTACATATCAAATGTCTCTAGTACAGTGTCATGTAGTGATGATTCTACATATCAAATGTCTCTAGAACAGTGTCATCTAGTGATGAGTCTACATATCAAATGTCTCTAGTACAGTGTCATGTAGTGATGATTCTACATATCAAATGTCTCTAGTACAGTGTCATGTAGTGATGATTCTACATATCAAAAGTCTCTAGAACAGTGTCATCTAGTGATGAGTCTACATATCAAATGTCTCTAGTACAGTGTCATGTAGTGATGATTCTACATATCAAATGTCTCTAGAACAGTGTCATCTAGTGATGATTCTACATATCAAATGTCTCTAGTACAGTGTCATGTAGTGATGATTCTACATATCAAATGTCTCTAGTACAGTGTCATGTAGTGATGATTCTACATATCAAATGTCTCTAGAACAGTGTCATCTAGTGATGATTCTACATATCAAATGTCTCTAGTACAGTGTCATGTAGTGATGATTCTACATATCAAATGTCTCTAGAACAGTGTCATCTAGTGATGAGTCTACATATCAAATGTCTCTAGTACAGTGTCATGTTGTGATGAGTCTACATATCAAATGTCTCTAGTACAGTGTCATCTAGTGATGAGTCTACATATCAAATGTCTCTAGTACAGTGTCATCTAGTGATGAGTCTACATATCAAATGTCTCTAGTACAGTTTCATCTAGTGATGAGTCTACATATCAAATGTCTCTAGTACAGTGCCATGTTGTGATGATTCTACATATCAAATGTCTGTAGTACAGTGCCATGTTGTGATGAGTCTACATATCAAATGTCTCTAGTACAGTGTCATGTTGTGATGAGTCTACATATCAAATGTCTCTAGTACAGTGCCATGTTGTGATGAGTCTACATATCAAATGTCTCTAGTACAGTGTCATGTTGTGATGAGTCTACATATCAAATGTCTCTAGTACAGTGTCATCTAGTGATGAGTCTACATATCAAATGTCTCTAGTACAGTGCCATGTTGTGATGATTCTACATATCAAATGTCTCTAGTACAGTGTCATCTAGTGATGAGTTAACATATCAAATGTCTCTAGTACAGTGCCATGTTGTGATGATTCTACATATCAAATGTCTCTAGTACAGTGTCATCTAGTGATGAGTCTACATATCAAATGTCTCTAGTACAGTGTCATCTAGTGATGAGTCTACATATCAAATGTCTCTAGTACAGTGCCATCTAGTGATGAGTCTACATATCAAATGTCTCTAGTACAGTGTCATCTAGTGATGAGTCTACATATCAAATGTCTCTAGTACAGTGTCATCTAGTGATGAGTCTACATATCAAATGTCTCTAGTACAGTGTCATCTAGTGATGAGTCTACATATCAAATGTCTCTAGTACAGTGTCATCTAGTGATGAGTCTACATATCAAATGTCTCTAGTACAGTGTCATCTAGTGATGAGTCTACATATCAAATGTCTCTAGTACAGTGTCATCTAGTGATGAGTCTACATATCAAATGTCTCTAGTACAGTGTCATCTAGTGATGAGTCTACATATCAAATGTCTCTAGTACAGTGTCATCTAGTGATGAGTCTACATATCAAATGTCTCTAGTACAGTGTCATCTAGTGATGAGTCTACATATCAAATGTCTCTAGTACAGTGTCATCTAGTGATGAGTCTACATATCAAATGTCTCTAGTACAGTGTCATCTAGTGATGAGTCTACATATCAAATGTCTCTAGTACAGTGTCATCTAGTGATGAGTCTACATATCAAATGTCTCTAGTACAGTGTCATCTAGTGATGAGTCTACATATCAAATGTCTCTAGTACAGTGTCATCTAGTGATGAGTCTACATATCAAATGTCTCTAGTACAGTGTCATCTAGTGATGAGTCTACATATCAAATGTCTCTAGTACAGTGTCATCTAGTGATGAGTCTACATATCAAATGTCTCTAGTACAGTGTCATCTAGTGATGAGTCTACATATCAAATGTCTCTAGTACAGTGTCATCTAGTGATGAGTCTACATATCAAATGTCTCTAGTACAGTGTCATGTTGTGATGAGTCTACATATCAAATGTCTCTAGAACAGTGCCATGTTGTGATGAGTCTACATATCAAATGTCTCTAGTACAGTGTCATGTTGTGATGAGTCTACATATCAAATGTCTCTAGTACAGTGTCATCTAGTGATGAGTCTACATATCAAATGTCTCTAGTACAGTGTCATCTAGTGATGAGTCTACATATCAAATGTCTCTAGTACAGTGTCATCTAGTGATGAGTCTACATATCAAATGTCTCTAGTACAGTGTCATCTAGTGATGAGTCTACATATCAAATGTCTCTAGTACAGTGTCATCTAGTGATGAGTCTACATATCAAATGTCTCTAGTACAGTGTCATCTAGTGATGAGTATACATATCAAATGTCTCTAGTACAGTGTCATCTAGTGATGAGTCTACATATCAAATGTCTCTAGTACAGTGTCATGTTGTGATGAGTCTACATATCAAATGTCTCTAGTACAGTGTCATCTAGTGATGAGTCTACATATCAAATGTCTCTAGTACAGTGTCATCTAGTGATGAGTCTACATATCAAATGTCTCTAGTACAGTGTCATCTAGTGATGAGTCTACATATCAAATGTCTCTAGTACAGTGTCATCTAGTGATGAGTCTACATATCAAATGTCTCTAGTACAGTGTCATCTAGTGATGAGTCTACATATCAAATGTCTCTAGTACAGTGCCATGTTGTGATGAGTCTACATATCAAATGTCTCTAGTACAGTGTCATGTTGTGATGAGTCTACATATCAAATGTCTCTAGTACAGTGCCATGTTGTGATGAGTCTACATATCAAATGTCTCTAGTACAGTGTCATGTTGTGATGAGTCTACATATCAAATGTCTCTAGTACAGTGTCATCTAGTGATGAGTCTACATATCAAATGTCTCTAGTACAGTGCCATGTTGTGATGATTCTACATATCAAATGTCTCTAGTACAGTGTCATCTAGTGATGAGTTAACATATCAAATGTCTCTAGTACAGTGCCATGTTGTGATGATTCTACATATCAAATGTCTCTAGTACAGTGTCATCTAGTGATGAGTCTACATATCAAATGTCTCTAGTACAATGTCATCTAGTGATGAGTCTACATATCAAATGTCTCTAGTACAGTGCCATCTAGTGATGAGTCTACATATCAAATGTCTCTAGTACAGTGTCATGTTGTGATGAGTCTACATATCAAATGTCTCAAGTACAGTGCCATCAAGTGATGAGTCTACATATCAAATGTCTCTAGTACAGTGCCATCTAGTGATGAGTCTACATATCAAATGTCTCTAGTACAGTGTCATGTTGTGATGAGTCTACATATCAAATGTCTCTAGTACAGTGTCATCTAGTGATGAGTCTACATATCAAATGTCTCTAGTACAGTGCCATCTAGTGATGAGTCTACATATCAAATGTCTCTAGTACAGTGTCATGTTGTGATGAGTCTACATATCAAATGTCTCTAGTACAGTGCCATGTTGTGATGAGTCTACATATCAAATGTCTCTAGTACAGTGTCATCTAGTGATGAGTCTACATATCAAATGTCTCTAGTACAGTGTCATCTAGTGATGAGTCTACATATCAAATGTCTCTAGTACAGTGCCATGTTGTGATGATTCTACATATCAAATGTCTCTAGTACAGTGCCATGTTGTGATGAGTTAACATATCAAATGTCTCTAGTACAGTGCCATGTTGTGATGATTCTACATATCAAATGTCTCTAGTACAGTGTCATCTAGTGATGAGTCTACATATCAAATGTCTCTAGTACAGTGCCATCTAGTAATGAGTCTACATATCAAATGTCTCTAGTACAGTGTCATGTTGTGATGAGTCTACATATCAAATGTCTCTAGTACAGTGTCATGTTGTGATGAGTCTACATATCAAATGTCTCTAGAACAGTGTCATGTTGTGATGAGTCTACATATCAAATGTCTCTAGTACAGTGTCATCTAGTGATGAGTCTACATATCAAATGTCTCTAGTACAGTGCCATCTAGTGATGAGTTAACACATCAAATGTCTCTAGTACAGTGTCATATAGTGATGAGTCTACATATCAAATGTCTCTAGTACAGTGCCATGTTGTGATGAGTTAACACATCAAATGTCTCTAGTACAGTGCCATGTTGTGATGAGTCTACATATCAAATGTCTCTAATACAGTGTCATGTTGTGATGAGTCTACATATCAAATGTCTCTAGTACAGTGCCATGTTGTGATGAGTTAACACAGGGGTAGGAGTGACCTTTACACTTTACAGCAAAAACTCTTGAATTACAATGAAAAAATGGCTGCCCCCTTTTTCAAAAAGAATTCATTTGTTAAGTCAATTTATAAAGTTTATGTTTCCCCAGAAGACAACAAAAGATTTTCCCAAAGGTAATGTAATGGTAATGGAGAGGTTTTAGTGACCTAGATTGTTGGAGGGGTCGACGTCACCACTATGTTAGGGACAAAGATTCTAGCCATGAGAGCACATCCTGGTCTCTAGTTAAAGTTATATGTCTCAGTTGCTGAACCGTCACCAGAGACCAGTTCAAATAAACTTAAGTGGCAACACAACACTGACCTCAATTGCCTGACCAGATCCTGAGCGCCGGTCAATGAGGCTATTTTGTTAACAAGGGTCTTCAGTCTTTCCGTTTGAGATGTTGACGGAAGTGGCATGTCAGTGCCATCAGAATCTGGCTTAACCATCCAGACCTGTGGCTCTGTAACATCCCTGGCCAACGGATGGTCAGTAGGTTGATGTTTGACAGATGAGCTTGTCTCATCTCCTCCCATCACCAGGACCTGACAAACAGAAAACTACAATTTATTCAACAAAATAACGGAAAGCGTTTTGTTCCCAATCAACAAGCAACTAGAACTGGACTGACAGCTTTCAAATAAATTCTCTTGGCCATTCCATAATTATTAATGATCAGCAGTTATGTTTTTTTATCAACATAGGGTGGCTCATGGTCATGTTACTCTTGGTGGGGCACCAATGACCTTGGCCCACCAATTTCCACTTGAAAATAAATAAACATACTGTATATTATAAAATAACTATTCCAATCGCATGTTAAATTAAGGTCACTTCTCAAAGTAGATGACTGACGTTCATATATTTATGTACAGTTCACTATTGCAAATAAAAAAATGCCCCTCATTTTCCCCTTTAATATACGAAGCTGTGGTGTTAGGTGCAGAAATTGAGGATGCCAGCTGAGGTCACCAGAGCAAAAGTGGGAGTGGGGTTTTTATTTGATTAATTCCAAATTTAGGGATGCACACTCACAGTGTTTATATAATCCTTATTATTTGAGTAGTTACTAAATAGTAAGATTGTTTTATAATTTATTACTTATTTCAAGCTATTTTTTTAATCAGTCTAAAAAGGGCGGATACACCAAAATGAGGCGTACCGTCACAAAAAAAATGATATATTGGCCTATATATTTCAAATGTGCCTTTATGGACAAAATTGAAAATAATTGCTAATCATATGAAGAAATAAGTTCCTTTGAGGTACATCCGGCGAGCCACAATATTAATGTCATTATCTTAAATAGTCTTTTCTTCGACTTGAAGTGAACACTATTGTTATTGTCATTATCTTAAATAGTCTTTTCTTAGACTTGAAGTGAACACTATTTTTAATGTCATTATCTTAAATAGTCTTTTCTTAGACTTGAAGTGAACACTATTTTTAATGTCATTATCTTAAATAGTCTTTTCTTAGACTTGAAGTGAACACTATTTTTAATTTCATTATCTTAAATAGTCTTTTCTTAGCCTTGGAGTCATGTAAAATCAACCCTGTTGTAAATATTCATAGTTTAAATAGTCCTCTGTTATACTTGAAATCCCTTCATGTCAACACCGTTGTTAATGTCCATAATTAAACTACTCCTCACCTGCTCCAAACAGGTCAAATATGCTGGGAATCCAGATGCTTTCATAAGATCAATCACTTGACATCTGTTAGCTTTTCTCTCATCAGGGGTTATGTCTAGAATGCCACATTCTGAAAAAAGTGGAGATGGTATGCATGTAAAACACTGGAGATGGTATGCATGTAAAACTCTGGAGATGGTATGCATGTAAAACACTGGAGATGGTATGCATGTAAAACACTGGAGATGGTATGCATGTAAAACACTGGAGATGGTATGCATGTAAAACTCTGGAGATGGTATGCATGTAAAACACTGGAGATGGTATGCATGTAAAACACTGGAGATGGTATGCATGTAAAACTCTGGAGATGGTATGCATGTAAAACACTGGAGATGGTATGCATGTAAAACACTGGAGATGGTATGCATGTAAAACTCTGGAGATGGTATGCATGTAAAACACTGGAGATGGTATGCATGTAAAACACTGGAGATGGTATGCATGTAAAACACTGGAGATGGTATGCATGTAAAACTCTGGAGATGGTATGCATGTAAAACACTGGAGATGGTATGCATGTAAAACACTGGAGATGGTATGCATGTAAAACACTGGAGATGGTATGCATGTAAAACACTGGAGATGGTATGCATGTAAAACAGTGGAGATGGTATGCATGTAAAACACTGGAGATGGTATGCATGTAAAACACTGGAGATGGTATGCATGTAAAACAGTGGAGATGGTATGCATGTAAAACACTGGAGATGGTATGCACGTAAGTATCTAATGTAATCTCCAAAATATAAATATCTTCTAAGGCAAAGTGTTCCTGCTTTATAATGTGAACTGCTTTATAGTGTTTGCTTTATAGTGTTGACTGCTTTATAGTATTGGCTGCTTTATATTATTTTCTAGGTAGTGTTAACTCTTTGATGGTAACTTGACTCAACACTACATCATGTTAAACTTGCAATGCATATTTATTATCTTATTCAGCTTACATAATGTTTATCAGACAAAAACAACATAAAAATTTCCCTCTATAAAAACACTGCCTGCAATGGCAATTCCTTGACCTAATACATGACAGTCAAGTGACATTGTGACCTATTCTTATTCAACGTGACCACATTACAACCCTGAAGAACTTATCAGCTCTTCAGGTGTTTACAACCACTACTGGCTGATACAGCAACTATTTCCTCCTCTAACACTGTGACTAATGCTGCCATCCCAACTCAACCACCCAAACCCCCAAGTCCACACCCAATGAGAGAGTAATGTTAACTTACCATCAACATGAATTAAGGTGGGAACAAACCGAAGTTTCCGGTGGGCCCTCTCACTTTTACCCTGCACAAACAACATGACAAAATTAGTCAGAAAAAGTTTCTGCATTTTTATTTATTAACAAAATAAATTCTTGTTTAACATTTTTTTTTTACAATGTGGGCATTTGAGCATATGCCCTTTACAATAATTGGTTCATTATTGAGATCCAGTGGCCATTTGGACTTGTGCCCTTTACAATAATTGGTTCATTATTCAGATCCAGTGGTCATTTGAGCATGTGCTCTTTACAATAATTGGTTCATTATTGAGATCCAGTGGCCATTTGGACTTGTGCCCTTTACAATAATTGGTTCATTATTGAGATCCAGTGGCCATTTGGACATGTGCCCTTTACAATAATTGGTTCATTATGGAGATCCAGTGGCCATTTGGACATGTGCCCTTTACAATAATTGGTTCATTATTGAGATCCAGTGGCATTTTGGACATGTGCCCTTTACAATAATTGGTTCATTATTGAGATCCAGTGGCCATTTGAGCATGTGCCCTTTACAATAATTACACTATGACATGCACACTATGACCTGTACACTCTGACCTGTACTCTTAATGGTACCATGGTTTACCTAAAAGTGGCCAGGTGCATCACCATGCTATTCTGGGTTAAAGTTAACCCTGTTTCACTTGTCCTCTTATCAATGACTTAATTCATACCTGGATATAGGTTATCTTCAATCATATGTCATGTATATAATAAGCTTACATGTTCAATCAGATGCAATAAGGCAGCAGAATTTGCTCCCCCAGAAAATGCAACTATAACTTGTTCTCCACATCTAATCAGCTTTGTTTTCCCGATAGCTGCTCGAAACTTGTGAATGACATAAATTTGAAAGCAATCCCTGGAAATGAAATACAGGGTCACTTAGTGCATGAAGTGTTATCAATAAATTAAAAGAAATGTTACACAAAAAGACTGTTTTTTACTCCACTATTTCTCCTCCACCTCACGGACACCATTTGAGACACAGTCATCCACCTCACGAACACCATTTGAGACACACTCATCCACCTCATGGACACCATTTGAGACACACTCATCCACCTCACGGACACCATTTGAGACACACTCATCCACCTCATGGACACCATTTGAGACACACTCATCCACCTCACAGACACCATTTGAGACACACTCCTCCACCTCATGGACACCATTTGAGACACACTCCTCCACCTCACAGACACCATTTGAAACACAAGTCAATATTTAGAAATCATTAGCCACGAGGTCCGTCCCAGCTCGGAAACTAATAACATTCCCCCCTAGGGTAAGAATGGGAAATGAGGTCCAGCAGAACCAATTCCATCCAAAAACAGAATAGGCGAGTTCTACAACTACAAGGCACCACTGTACTCTGTGATGCACTGCTGTACTCTCCAATCCACCACTGTACTCTGTGATGCACTTCTGTACTCTCCAATCCACCATTGTACTCTGAGATGCACTTCTGTACTCTCCAATCCACCATTGTACTCTGTGATGCACTTCTGTACTCTCCAATCCACCATTGTACTCTGTGATGCACTGCTGTACTCTCCAATCCACCATTTTACTCTGTGATGCACTGCTGTACTCTACGATGCACCACTGTACTCTGTGATGCACTGCTGTACTCTCCAATCCACCATTGTACTCTGTGATGCACTGCTGTACTCTGTGATGCACTGCTGTACTCTGTGATGCACTGCTGTACTCTCCAATCCACCATTGTACTCTGTGATGCACTGCTGTACTCTCCAATCCACCATTGTACTCTGTGATGCACTGCTGTACTCTGTGATGCACTCTGTACTCTCCAATCCACCATTGTACTCTGTGATGCACTGCTGTACTCTGTGATGCACCACTGTACACTTAGCACTTAAGGTATATGTAATAAGCACTTTATGAAACTTAGTTACACAGAGATAGCTCCTGTATTAATCTTACTTGCAGAAGGAGTCATCAATTCGAGTTATAAGTATTCCAGGATTATCACACTTGACACATTTCTGTCCCGTTTCCCTGCAGATCATAAAATAATAGGAATTTTTCATAGATTAAATAAAACATCTAATGACTAAGTAACTCCTACTTATCATCACGACTATTTAGCTCCAACTTCTCATAGGTTAACACTATCATCATTACTATTTAACTCCTACTCCACAAAGGTTTGGCATTAATTAGCATACCGTAGTGTTGGAAAGTGGAGGACAAAGCTTGGAGAGTATTGAGTTTGTGAGGCCTGATCTAAATAATATATTTGGTTGTTAAAATTTGAGATAGGGTATTACTAAATACAAATTGCAGATCCATTTACTTAATGAAAAGCTTTCATATTTTCTCATTTTTTTAAAACTTCAATGAACTTGATAATACCATATGATGTAACTGTCCCTTCAATCCCCAAGTCCCCCAATGACTATACTGAGTGCCCTGACATTATCATCATGTTTACCTTACAGTCTTGGCAAGTTTCACCGGCTGGTTTTCTATGCCATCTTCAGTGATGGCCTCACACATTTTAGGACTTTAGAAAATGATATGTTTCACTTCCCTAAGAATACAATGGGTTTAAAGATCTGTAGGTACAACTTTTTTTTGAGACAATCAATTATTTTAATATCAAAATTATTGTGCCCTTGCTTCTCCCCCATTTTTTTCTCTATCATCGAGTATCATAAGGTGAAGGTGATCATAAAAAATGTACAGGCATATGCACTGGATAGGCCTACTGTAGTGGGATTAATTTTTAATAAATGTCCCTTTCAATGATATTAATCTTCATCAAAACTATTCCATTTATGTCATACAGAGTCAGAGAGCATACTTCAATTTGCACCTTCCACATCGTTAACAAAAGTTGATATTTATATTTTGCATATGTCGGCCTCTACTATAACTATTTAATTATTTACAGTTATTTTTACAGCACATTTATGAGACGAAAGTCTTACCACAGACTAATTTTAGGGAACAACGAAATTCTCAAACAAGAATTTTCAAGACTGAAAATAATGTGTACCATGAATTTTTTTTTAAAACATTTCCGTTTATTTTATTTGGATCAATAAAAGTATTTTATCTCATTTTAGAGAATGGTCCGCTGGCCATGGTATGTATTATTGGCCCAAAAGTTGTTTGTAAAATGGTGCGACCATCAGAAACAGACCATACTCAATTATAGTATACCCCTTTAAAATCCAAATGGGTCACCAGGATCAATGATTAACTTTGCTATGAATGATACTTACATAAGAGGAAAGACAGACTGGTTTTAACGTACACTTCTCTACTGACCAGACCTAAGGACGTAAGATACTCTAATAGTGGTGAAGTACCTCAGACGTGGTAAGTTTCTAGTTGTCCAGGTCTTCAGACAATTCTGTGAAATCAGGTAGAATGAAATTCAATTAATTCCAAAATTGGCGTTCCCTGACTTTAAATCAAACATTGAGGAATGTAACCAACAGAGTAGGGAAAAATTGGAGCTGTTAGCTGAAAGCCTTCAAAATCAAAACAAAAAAAAAATTAAAAAATCAGAGAATTAACATAACTTATCTGAGACCGCAAGAGTGAGTGGCAAACAAGAAATAAAATAAGTTTTCCTTACGGAAACAGATTAATGTCATGAAATCTGAAACTACTGGTCATTCAAACTCTGATCATATTAGACCTAACTACCTAACCTATGCCTATATTGTTTTATTTACACAAAATGTCCTGTCTCATAAAGTTATAACTTAAGGCATAACCTACTATTGACAATTACATTATTATTACATTGAGCCAATAGCCTAATTACAAAAACTAACAAATATAATAACTTTATTATCGCAGTCCAACCCTTGTACTACATAGCTCGAACACTGATGACATAACATTGATCTCAGTGATTATCTTTCTTTCTTTTTTTTTTTTTTTTTTTGCTTTTTACATCACCTTTTTCTTTTTTTTTTTTTTTTTTTTTTTGTTCTCCGTGATTATCCTCTTTTTTTTTTTTTTTTTTTTTTTTTTTTGCATTTTACATCACCGTTTTCTAATAATAAACTAATAAACTATTTTGTCATCAGTAATATAGAGCGCATATTTTTCAAAACACTGCGATATCATTTTTGCAGCATTGTATATTTTGTGAGTGGCAAAAGATTTATTTTTATTGATTGGTATGTACTTAATTTCTTATTATTTATTAATGCAAACTCACAGAACATAACGCTTTACAGAGCTAGAGCTTCATTTTTTCACAAAGGGGAATAACTTTATTTCATTAATAATAGCAATAGCTGAAAAAAGTTAGGCACCAAAGAATTTATGAACATGTGATATTTTCAACAGTTATCCCCCCCTCAAATAAAATAAAAAATTGGGTTGTCAGAAATGACTCTCGTCATTATAAATTTAAGACGAAGAAATAAAAAAAGATGACCGTTATTGTTCATCTTCAAAAATCCGTGTAACACTTATCAGTTAATTAATGAGAAACAGTTTTCCAATATTATTAGAAATTAATACACTCCAGTAAATTCAGTTTTTATTCATTTTAGTTTGTATAGTCTGTTGTGAGTTTTGTCTCTTGATTTACACAAATAATTATACAATAATAATATGTATAAAATCAATTTAAGTTTAGAAATTTTATGAAAGCATTTAATATAAACATTATATCCCTTATTCTTTATTGAATCAATAATAGTGTAATAATTGTAATAATATCAATTTTTATTCTCTAATTAGTGACATTACTCCTATAAGAGAACATTATTACTATATTATAGTGTATACTAAGCCTAATACCAGTACTAATATTACTAATTAACTAAAACTACTATTCTATTACTACAAATGCATTTACACTTGCAGGCCTAATTTAAATTAGTATTTGTTTAATTAATAAGGCATTTAATTATAAATCAAAGACATCAAATAAACAAATAAGACTCAACATCATAGTAATTATTTTTTATTGGGGCATACAAAAACAGTTTACATGGAGAAATATTTAATATTTCTAATAAAATAGTAGTAAAAGAAATTTGTTTTACTGAACAAAAAAATTGAACACCATTAAAAAGCAATAACAAATTGTGTAGATTCAGGATATGATTAGATGTTATTTCTAGGTTTCATTTAGACACAAGAGAACATTTTAATTTTCTATTAAAGAACTCCTCCTATCTACAAGGAGGCACGTTTAGACAAAGACAAAGTACATGAAAGAGAGATTGTGGATTTATCAATACGACCTAGTAGTTTGAAGAGCACTCTAAATAGAAAATGACAGGCAGAACATCCCCATTACTGATTACCTTTTAAAATTTAATCACATACCCCAGTACTGGTATGCTTGTATTTATATTAGTCTTATTTGTGATATTAGAATTTTTTAATAAAAACTTATGCATTCAACTTAACATTAAAAAAAAAAAAAGACTTCTGCTTACCTTTTATAAATGTAAGAAATATTTTTAAAATTTAACATTGATCTAATTTTACATTTAAATTTAGTTTAAAATATAATTCATTAAAATACAATAAACATTATTTGTTTGTTTTTTCCTTAACAAATAATAATTGTTCCTATTTTTCTGTTCATGGGATTCTTAACACATACCCCCATTTAAAATTATCAAAAACAAAACGTTTTGACGTTGATGTTACATATTTGTTTTGTTATTTATTGTGTTGTAAATTGAATATTAACCCGTACAGTACCCGGCGAGTCTTTTTGAAGTGACCTAATTTTCCTGTGACCCAAGCGCGTCTTTTTTCACCAGCCGATCATTTTCCCTGTGGCCGAAGCGCATCTATTTGCCACATAGAAACGAGGATATAACCTTTCACCCCAGTCTCGGGCAGATGTTTATTCGTTAGGGGAATAGTCAAATTTTATGAAAATCGACCAATTACTGAGTTTTTTAATGAATCTGTATATTTTGTTTCCATTGCGCTACCTAATCGCTATTGTTGATGGCAACTTAGTCCCACTTGAAGAAACCTTTTGTTCTGAAAATTTTATTGAGCTTTAATTGGGATTAGAAGTGGTCTTTTAACACCCTTATCCATTTTTGAACAGATAATTCACTACATGTTATTATTAATTGTTTAAAACAAAAAATTTAAAAAATAAATTAACAATCCTATCAAATTTTGACTCATTCCAAAATAATGTCTGAGTCTGGGCCAGGGCCACAGGGAATTAGTAGCCAATTAATGGCCGGTACTGAGACAATAAAAGTAGGTCAGTACCGCACAGGTTAACATTGCATTGAGATAGAAAGAATGTCTCCTGAAAATCTGGTAGCATTATTACTATTACTATTATTCATTTATGATTATGATTTATCATAATGAATCATATTATTATCTTTTATAATAAAATAAATAAGTTGTGGGCAAAATAACTTATAAGTCAAGAAAGTTGGAACCTGGAAAGTAGGTCACAAGTTTTTGCAGTTAATTTAAATACAAAGATAAATAAATAAGGTGGTTAAAAAAAAATCACGAAAAAATCATAACTCCACGGTCCACTTCTTCAGTTTTCTTGGTCTTACTTAGTAACTTAGTCTATATTAATATTAAAAGTAATTAAAAAGATAGAAAGGTGAACATTTTTTTATTATAATAAACTTACGTTTTTTAAGATCCTTGAACTACTACTGGTTTTAATTTTGCACTACTTTTTTTTGACACCACTGCCAACATTGTTGCCATTACAAAATCTAGTTATATCACTGAAATTTAAAGAAACACAAGCACTATCAGTATTATAGGACTAAACCGGAAGTAAAAACTCGAAGTTATGCTCTTTTTTTTTTTTTTGTAACTCATTGTTATTGAAATTCAATTTTTTTAAAGATAAATTCTATTGTTTTAAAATGACATTTATCCGCCTCAAAAATATTATGGTTGGTTTTACATCAATTGAACCGATACTTCGTTGTTACCATATTTTTTTTTTATTAGCGTATACTTAAGTAAAAAAAAAAATTACTCCTCTTTAAAAGCAGTTTGTTTCGATCCTCTTCCAAAGATAAGCTCAGAATTAGCTGTGCTCTCCACAGATCTAAGTTTAATTCTATGAGTTGACTTTAGTTGCCAATGGTACCAGACCTTGGGAAATGTCCCCTGATTTTGGGAATTAATGACCGGGGTGTGGGCGGTGGGGGAGTGAGGAATTATTTTTTTAAACTACAGAAACCTTGGGAAACGTCATATTTTGGGGAAATATTCCGGCGAAAAAATGTTGAAGCGCAAGAAATTTTTTTTAATTTTGAGGATAATAAAAAAAGAAATCAGTGGAGATTATTGCACTATTCTCGATATAATTGTGTTAAACATTTCAAGCAAGTGATGAGGTGTCTGTGACACTTAGTGGAGTAGCTAGGGTAAGTGCCACGTGGGTCGGGTAAAGATTATTGCCGCCCCCCCCCCTTCCCTTCCCTGAAAAAACTCTGCAGTTTTCCAAAAATAAGCCCCTCCATATAAAGAAAAAAGTTCCACCCGGCATTGACCGCAAACCTACGACAATGATGTGAATACCTTTTTTTTTTTCCCCACTTAGGCTACCTTTTTCACTTTTATTAGCTTTAATTCATGTTGCAAAGACCGCCCCCTTCTCACCCTCCCCCTTCCTGCGCCTTTCCTGGTTTATTTAGTGAGTTGACTAACGGATTCCTTTTCACTTGCTTTCAACCTGTATGATCTAATCAAGAGCAGTTAAACACGAAAGGGAGTCCAACACAATAAACTAAGGACTGGTATCCATCGATATACTTGGTTTTTATCAAGCATGACTATGTTTTTATCCTATCATACGCAGTGGCGTAGGAAGGAGGGGTGGTGAGCAGTTCGCCCAGGTTGCATTTTCTTCTTTTTATATGGGTGGGGGCGGCATATTCGTCGTAAAGACGCAAAGCATACATTTATTTTACTACAAACTGCTACTCATTATCATGAGATATTGGAAGTGTAATTGATTAAATTCCTTAAGTTGTATTTAGTCTTTTGTTATGACCCAGTTAAATTGAAATATTAGGTCATGAAAAGGAGCGAAGCTGAAACACAAAACAAGCTAAGTCTAAGTACAGTACATATGCAGGTGTGTGACGGAAAATTAGTTCTTATAATGCGCTCAGTGACTTTGCTGGAATAGAGAAAATGTAAGACGGAGGGTGGGGGTTAAAAATTGTCAAAAAATTGCGCGACTCACTTTATGGACAGCCCCTTTAAATAGGGAAATTTTTAGACCAAACCTTGGGAAATTTGAAAAATCTGAGTGGCAGCAGAGATTGCTGAAGAGAAGTTGCCTCAATCATCAAATTATGATGTGTCCTGTACAATATTCTTGAATGTACTAATGCAAGCCTACAAATTCTGAGATATTTATATTTTCAAAGAGGAAACTATTTTTCGGGTATCTTATCTTTTATGACAGCTAAAAAATAAAGAATTTCATTGATGATGGTATTTATTAGTACGGATAACTAGAAGATCTGAACCGAGGAAAGCAAAACATTACGCCAATTACGCTACAATTAATTACTTATTATTACTATCTATCTGAATCTGCAATAGTGAAGTCTTGTTAGTGTGTGTTCCTGAGTTGTATCGATTCTAAACCTTTCCAATACATTTCAAACCAGAATACTGGGTGACATCTAAACCCTAATGCCTAATTTTTTTTTTTGGTTTTTGATAATTTAATTAAATTTAAATATCCTAAAAAAATTCCTGGAACCTTATCAGGTAAATTTTGAGTTAACGTTATGGGTTTTGCCAAGAGTTTTCTCACCCTAAGCGCAGTCCTTCTTTGAAGGACCCGAACGATGTGTGATATATAACATTCCTGTTCTTTATTACTCTATTGAGCATTACCCGCTCATAAACGATACGGTTAATATGAAGTATATTGAAATAAAATTTTTCATTAATCTGTATTATAATTCAACTTACACGTTTCAAAAGAAAAAAAAAACCACATCCTTGCTGATAGCCCAAGACCCAACACCGGTGAAAAAAAAGACCCCTCCCATTGCTATTAATTTAAATACCAAAATAAGAAACATAGAATGTTGTTTTTGCTTTGACAATTTCATGCTTGTTTTTTATATTAATCAACAAAAACGTCACGTTGCAATAATCAGGAATTTTTTTGTTTTTAGTTTGGAAAAAGTAGGAAATTTTGTTTTTAAAAAAGAGTGTGAACCCTGCCAATAAATACATTTTAAAACACAGTTAAATCCCATTTCATAGGCAGAAGGACAAGTTTTCGTTTAAGTAGGTTAGGCAGTAGTCGGTTAATATATATATACTTTATATATATATATTTATGTATATATTAAATGTATGTTTATTCATTTTTATATATATTTTATATTGGGTGGTCGAGCGGTCTAAACTGTCTCAAACCAAATAGCTGGTGCTTTGGAGTTCAATCCCCACCAAAGCCAACATCCCAAAGCACCCCGGATGGAAAGGACTCGTTAGCCTTGGACTCATCTAAGAGAAGGCAAATTCTGAAATCAAACCAGAGCCAGAATGATCAAAGTGTAGAAAACACAAAGGCTTTTATGTTTTAACATTACTTCTTTCTTTACTTCTTATTAATAGCATTTTTCTTTTAGGTGCCATAATGAAGAATCAAATCACACTAAAGGGTAAAAATAACAAAAAGTAGTGTTGTTTAACACAGCACTACATCATATGATGTTTTTTGCAAATGTGCCAAAGCACTACTGGGCCGGGGGGATTGTGAGTAGAAAAGTATGCTTATGTTCATAACCCAAAATATCATTCATTAACTGAGACAAAAATTCATCATAAAACTTTTTTGTTAACCAATTGTTTGTCAACTGGGCGTTCGTTATTGAGGTCCCAGTGTATTTCCTTTCTTTTAAAATACATCTTAGCGCCTGAACCCTATAAATATTTTAAACTTATGTCCCATCCCCCTTTTACCACCCAATGAAATGTATTTTCTAAAAATGGTCCAACAAATTCTCTGTATACTTTGAATTATATGGCTGGATTAACCTGCTAATCTTCTGTTTAAAAGATTCTTTAAAATCTTTTTGAAAGTGCACCATTTTGCAAACATAAAATAAAGCCATATTGAAAATCCTTGCACCAAAAATAACTTACATTAAACATTCATTATAGAGCGGCCACAACAAGCTTATTCCTAATAATAATATTTAGGGAATACTCTGTAATTTGGGTTATTTGTTAAATAACAGCTTTTGGGGGTAAAAATATTTTAAACAAACTTTCAGGGAACCATCTTAGGGTCAGGCAGTATGACCATGTCAAATTAAGTTAATTGCATTTAGTGGTTTTAAATTTTATAATTGATATTGGTAAATAGATACATGGGCCCACATATAATTATATATAGTCACTGCCTTTATGTAGTAGATATTCATAATAAATAGCATTAGGCCGAGCTTTCTCAGTCTGTTGTTATTATTCTGAAATCAAGCATTGTTTTATTCAATTGTCTTTTGTAATCATGCCAAGCTCACAATCAATGTTGCCTCAAATTTTGTGAGGAGCTGAGTGCCAAGAATTTGTTTTACGTAATAGCAAGGGTTAACCACTGTGCACAGATAAAGACTACAACAGATGTGGCTAACCCAAATGGCTTCATGCGCGATTTGATCACAAATCAATTGTTCAAGGGCTGCCTCTATCAAATAAAATGAAAAACAAATAAACGCACATAATTATTTATTTGTATACATACTATTCTCAAATTACAACTCTTCTTCTGTTTTACAATATTAATTTTAAATGTTGAAATTATGTTCATGTTCAAATTATATAAGTAAATGATAAAGTTAACAAGAAATAAGCCCTTTTCTAAATAGTATCCTACATTTTTCTATTTTCAGACCGAAAGAGCTGCAGCTGGTGATATCAGTTGAGTCACTAAATGGAAAAACTATTGTAATGAATCCATACAGCTACAGACAATCAAGATAAGAGGATTTGACTGGTGACAAGAATGCTCTAAAACATTGATTCAGGAAGAAGTCTCTAAAGTTGTCCAAAATGGAAAGCTGTAGTTAAAAGTCAACGCTTATGACTTTTCAAATAGATGGTGCTGTGTGTGAAATCCCCCTCCTGAGCAAGAAGTAGGGGCTCAGCCAAAGTCAAAACTTCATTCCCAGCAAACACAGAAAATACTTCCGTTGTGACTCATTGGACAATTGGTGGATCATTTCTGAACATGCCATAGATGCTTTCAGGAATGATCATTGGCTCATGTCCCTTTTGAAATTTTATGAACCATTTTACCTAAGAAGAACATAAAGGCAGTCTTGAGCCTAACACAGAGATGGCTAATGTCTGTGATGAAAATTCTGAGTTACAGAGCAGAAAGAATGAGTTGAGTTCTCAAAACTTTCCTCTTCAAAGAACTGGTGTTTTGTTATCTTCTGATCATAGGACAGAAGAGTTTCCTCTTCAAAGAACTGATGTTTTGTTATCTTCTGATCATAGGACAGAACAGTTTCCTCTTCAGAGAACTGATGTTTTGTTATCTTCTGATCATAGAACCAAACGCCACAATTGTGGCTTTGAGAATCTTACAGCTTGGCCATCACCCAGTAGCAACTCTGATATATGCATTACAAGATCTGAATCAGCAACAAGTCATGATGGCACAAGTGTTCAACAAGTACCATCAGAGGAATGTTTTTTATTCTCACATGAACCACCTCCTTTGGAACTCGGCACTGATAATTCAGTTACAGTTCAACCACAAAATGATCGAAGTCAAACAACTAGTGAATCGCAATCTTTACAACCAGACGATGATAATGTAACAGCTAGGCTATTATTACAACCAGAAGATGATAGTTTAACAAATAGACAATTACAACCAAAAGATGATAATTTAACAACTAGACTATTAAAACAAGTAGATGATAACTTAGCTGCTAGTGGATCTCAACATGTACAACCAAATACTCTTAAGATAACAACAAAGGAAGTACAACCTTTAGAATCAGAGGATGACAGATTGACTAGTGAATTAAATTATTTAGAACCAGATAACTATAAATTAACACCTAGTGAACCACAAGCTTCAGGAACAGAGAATCATAATTTAACATCTAGTGAACCACAAGCTTCAGAAACAGAGAATCATAATTTAACATATAGTGAACCACAAGCTTCAGAAACAAAGAATCATATTTTGACACCTAGTGAAGCCCACCAAGAAGGCCATATTTCATTGCATGGGGATTTACTTCCTGTAGAACCAAAGAATTGTATTTTTTCAAGTCAATCTCATTCTTTAGAACCAGAAGACCAAAACTGTATAAAAAGTGAATATCATGTATTAGGTTCAGAGAATAACTATCTGCTGGAACCAGAAAATTATGGTTTCATCACTGCACAATCTCATCCATTATCAATGGTAGATAGTAAATCACAAATAAATACAAATAAATATAACTTCCCGTTTGGAAAGTTGCCAGAATTAAGAATTATGTTGCAAAAATGTGATGTTCCCAAAGCTTGTCTGCGTCATATGTCAGCAAACAAAACTAAAGGACATGGCTCTGCAGCTGGCCATGAACAGGTTGCGATGAATGGTCTCACGCAACCTCTTGAAGTTTTAAAACTGAACAATGAACCTCTTTTGCCAGTTAAAAGAAAGGTTGGAAGACCTAGAAAATACATTAGAGAAAAATTAGAAGGTCTGGAGAAAGCTGAGGCAGACGGTAGAAACAAATACCAAAGAATGTTTAACTATCAGTTCAAATTGAGAGAAACGGATTTGGAAAAAATCAAAGAGCAATCTCAGTTTTACGATGAGTTCAAATTAAAAGACATTGATGTTATTGTGAAAAGTCCTAGTGAGGCATCCAATTTGAGGTTTGAGAATTCCCCAAGCACAAGAAAAATATCAAATTCTAAGACAGCGCATGTTTTTGATGAAAACACAAGAAACAAAGAAGTGAAGTGCATCAATAATGATGACATGCTGAAAAATGTTAAACTGAAAAAGAAAAGGCGTGGCAAGAAAGCAAAAATGGATGCTGGCAAAAATGATACCGTGAGAGAAAACGCTTGTGCTGTAAGAAAAGTCAAGTGTCACTTGAATGGCGAAAATCGAGGGTCAGAATCGCGTCCAGAACATGCAACAACATTATGTAAAGTTCAAGCAGATTGTGCCAAACCAGTTCCTGGGAAAAGGCCACGAGGACGACCTCCAAAAAAAGGGAATAAGTCTAAATCTAGCTCAGGACGTATGTCAACATATGACCTAGTGAGTGGTCATTCTTCAAAGTTAAAAACCAAAGTGAAATGTCATCCCAAAGAAAATGACCAAAAGCTGGACGTCAGAGCTGAATGTTCACCGAAAAGAAAAGTGACTGTCTCCTTAAGTCAAGCCGTGGGTGCAAAGAAGCCAAAGCTTTCTGCAAAAACCACCTTACAAAAACTAAGAAAGACAAAGAAAAGAAGCAAAATTCATGGGAGAAATACATTTACGATGGATAAGAGCCGCAAATTTCATCTGAGGTCTGTTGGTGAGGGGAGAATGTTGAGATCAAAGAACGCCCCAGACGCCAAGGCCCCTGTGAAAAAAAAAGGTAGGTTTGTGTCAAAGAAAAAAGCTAACCCTGAGGAAGCAGAGAGATGTGAATCCCCGGATTATGATCCAACATCCCCCATTGTGGAAATGGACCATGATGCAGAGGTGGACTTTGAAACATTGTTTTCTTTGGGAATGGAGAATTTCAACAGAGGAGGCACCCCAAAGAAGTTAAGAGATCAGTCAAAAAAGAACTCCATAGAGAAGCCATCAAGTGGAGCACCGTATCCTTTTTCCTTCAATGACACCAAAGCCCCTGTGGGTAGAGCTTGTGACCTGTCTCACGCTTGTTGTCATAAAGGTGCTCAAACTAAGGTAGATATGAGCACCCAGTGGGAAGATCCAACAGAGATGTTTGCTGCTATAGATGCTGCTGTGGCGGCAGCACACATTTCCCCACAATTCATTCCTCAGATTAAGAGATACCTTGTTACAGAGAGCACACAATATCAGCAGCAACCGTACCCTAACCCACCATTAAAAGTTCAAGAAAAGCAACCATTTTTACATCGGCAACCATCACAGACATGTCATATCATTCAGTCTGATGCAGTCTCACCTGCACTGCAGTCCAACCAGTTGTCTGCAGCAAGATCCCACAGCTACTTGCAGCAATCACCACTCAACGTCAGCTATGACACCCATCTGCAAAAATTTATTTCCCAGAATTCTTTGAATTTTGAGCAGTCTCAAACACAACCACAAGTACGACAAGTTTCTCCAACTGTACTAAACCAAAGTTCTAAAACTTTTCAAGTGAAACACGTTTCGCAGGTTCTCCAGGCAGACACCGCATTTTCTTCACCTGTAACATCACAAACAGTGGGTTTAACCAGTACAACGTACCACAACTTTCCTATACCTAATTCTGGCGGAGTCAGCTCTACATCACACTCTTTTTTCTCTAATAATTATAACATGCAAGTTCCTGTTGCTCAAATGGGTCAGCTTACAAGTGGAGCCCAGATGACACCCTTCCTTCTTGTACCCATGACTGCTCAGAATTTGAAAGGCTTGTCTGGTCATCAAACAAAGACCAGAAAAAGAAGGAGAAAACAAAATCGGACACCAGACACAAGTCACCTTCAAAGTCAGAGGCAGACACAAGAGGAAGTAAGCGGTCCCAACAAGGGCTCAAACTCTTCATCTAAATCTAAGCCAAATGCAGGTAATTGGATTCCACCGATGCCAAAGTCCAATGTGGTATTAAGTGATGCCAGAGCTGATTCTAACAGTGATCAAGATGGTTTCATTGGATTGGATCTTGATCCACGGGTGCCTAGGTCCGATGTTGTATTGAGTGGTGGCAGAGCTGATTCTAACAGTGATCAAGATGGTTTCATTGGATTGGATCTTGATGTCAGCTGTGTTGAAGAAAATGAAAATTCTGGTGACTCATTCAAGAATGCTGAAACAGTTGGACAAAATAATACTGATAGCTCAACAGACAGTGTTGATTGTACCGATTACATTTATATTGAGTGAGATATAAATGATGGTACAAATTACATTTATATTCAGTGAGATATAAATGATGGTACTGATTACATTTATATTCAGTGATATATAAATGTTTAGCCCAAAATCAAAGGATATCAATTGAGGTCTACTTATTTTTTTTTAAATCTTTTATGTTCTTTTAATTCTTGTCACATTTTGAAGCACTCTTAATTTTCTATTGCATTTAATTAAATAATTATAAGATGGTGGACTGCCCTAAATTAGCTTAGTTAGATTAAAGTTTAAAGACACAATTTGTGCCAACAAACAATATCAGTTAGACCATTTCATCGTGTCTTTTAATTAGAGCCAACTATCATTTATTGCACATGCCATTGGTTAAAGCAGGCCTGCACAACTCAAAATGTTAGATGGGCCGTAATACTTTATGAAAAACTTGTGCGGGCCAAAAGCTAATAGGACAGGGGCGAAAGATATTAAGAAAAATAATAATAAAGAATATTTTGTTACTTCGCGGGCCGCCAAGTGGGTGCTGGCAGGTTGTATGTTGTGCAGACCTGGGTTAAAACACTGGTAAAAAAAAAATGTTTGTAAAGCGGCTAATTGTAAATTTTCTTAAGGGATGGTATTCTAAATTTTTCATGTGAGGGGCAGGCAATAAATGGGGCTATTCATTGCTTCTACTTGTATACTTTGTAGAAATAGAAAATCAAGGCTGCCTGACTTGCTCTTCTGAGATTTTTTATATGTACGGTTACTGGTATATTTAACAGGAAATTAATGCCCAGGTCAACTATTCGTCTATGTTAAGAATATTTGGAAGCCATTATCAACATAGGGAAAGGCAGATTCAGTATTGTCTTTTAATATTATTTTATAAAGCTCTGCGTCTGAGTCGATTTTGGTTTTACAATGGATGCTTCACATAAGATTCAAAAAGCTGAAACTCATTTGTAAATTCATTGTTAACAAGTTATAAGTCCACTAAGAAATCATTATCCAGCTTTTCGCAGCACTGAAATTGTCTGTGACTTTCAGTTGAAGAGGTAATATTATGCGTCACATTATTTAATATTAAAAAAGTGTCTATGCTGCCACTTGTATATCTCTCCCATTCCTCTTATCTCAGTAATTGTATATACGTATTTATACTACATTTTTCTGTTTTATTTTTATTTAAGCAGTGGCGTAGCTAGGAATAAAATAATTTGTGTTGCCCCCTTACACACAAAAAACTGCAGTTGGCTGAAAATGCTGTTCCCCCAATATAAGGGACCCATGACGGACCAACCCTTCTGTACGATCCTTCAAACTGATTGATCACCATCTTTGAGTACCTTCTTTCTTTTAGGTTGTAACTCTTTGTAACCCACATGTGGTAGACTTTCTTTTGTAGCTCATTCTTATTTTTCAAATGATCTTATAAAGTCCAGTTGTTTACCTAATGATTCTTAGAGATTTGCACATGTCTGTAAGTCAATATCCTCATTCTGTAGAAGTTTCCTTTTACTTATATTTTTTTGCTGCAAATGGATTTTTGTTTTGAAAAAATAACCTTGACTCTGAATGCTCTTATGTGTATTTTTGTGGCTCCCCCTTTCTCCTGATGCCCCGAGCACATGCTTATTAAGCTTACTGTAATGTTTTACCCGGCCCTGCTTGGGGAGGTTTGGTGGAAAAAACGTGTAGTCATGTATGTACCTAACCACATCAAATGTCATGTCATGTATTGTGAAACAAATACATTGTACAACTACAAGATTGGGTGGATGTTTCATTTGTTGGTGAGAAATATCAGTGAAAATTGAACACTGGATTAATTTTTTTAGTTGAGCAAATGAAAAGTTAATCTAGTGCCTCAAGTTCCAACCACTTGTTCTTGGAAAAATAATATTCATTCTTATCTCAGGGGGCATACAAAACAAAGTGATTGGGTAAATTTAGCAATATCATTAAAAGCTTGATAAGGAAATTAATTAAGCTAAAACTCTAGATACCGGTACAGTTATTTTATAAAACTCATCTTTAAACAATGTACCGTATTCAAGTTATTTGGTCTAAATATATTTACAGCTGGTCTGAATTCTTTACTCATTCTTACTACTGATAGATTAAATGTCTAACCATTTATGTTCTCTTCTGGTACTCCAGTTCAATGTATTTTCCCTTGCCACATGTTACGAATTTACCAGTGTGCTCCTCTAGAGGTCACAAGATCTATATGATCACTAATTAAGTCCCTTATTATGACTTAGAGGAGCCCACCGATTGACTGTTTTTTTTATGCTAGAAAAATAAATTAATGAAGATGTCTTGTGTTTAAATTGTTTTCGTTGGATAATGTTGACCTTATAAAACTATGTATTTATTTATGTGCTAAAAATGTTTATGTACAAGTACAATGCAATCAAAAAACATTGCCATTTATTTGGATCAATAAAAGAATCGTATCTTATGTTATCTTATTGCACCAGCCAGTGGTGTAGCTAGGGTTAGTGCTGCCTTGGATGGGCCAAGATTTTTGTCCTTCCTCTTCCATGAAAAAAAACCCACTGCAGTTGGTAAAAAATGTCACCCCTCCAGTGTAAAGATACCAAGGGCTGCCCAGGCGTCCCCCACCCGCCCTTTTCCACTTCCTAAGCCAATGGAACCAGCTTGCATTTGAATTGAGTTTGGAAACAATGAAATCTTATGATTATATAACTCTTTTTGTGTGACTGTTGCATTACTTTCTTGACTATAAATAGACTTCAAGATTTCTTGCTTGTTTATACCAATGAATTTGCAATTAATATGTATATCTATGACTGTACCCCAGTATTTCAATAATTGACTTTCCTTTGAAATTGTCTGCATTTCAATGGTGAGTTGGATTGTCTTAAATTAAATGCTTAGTTTGATTAACCTATCTTAACTGAGCTGCTACATAATATATCCTCGGTTAGCAATTTTTTATTAATTGTTGCTTCAGGCCCACTGCATGTATTCCAGTATGTTTAAAATGTGTAAATTCATGAGGTTCTCTACGGCAGCGTTCCCCAAGCGGTGGTCAGCTAGCCGGTGCCAATCCGCGAACTTAATGTTGCCGTTCCGCACAACATTCGTCAAACTGGAGGGAAAGTTACATGCTTGAGTCTTGTTTCAAAACAAACTTTAAAAATCAAGGATTGTCTTAGGCATAAAAATACCCCGCATGTGAGCCCGAGAGTCTAATGCTATACCGGTAGGTATGCCTAATTAAATGTGAAACCTATCTTAATGAAAAGGCCACATAAAACAAGGCTAAACAATTTTTTTTTACTTTTTTATTTTTTTTTTTCTTTTGGTGTGACAAGAGCAGCCTAAACTGGCAACCCCAATTAATGTTTCTAGGGTAAGAAGGGGCATGACCTCTGACACATAAGCTGGAAGCTTTTATAAAAAAAACTATACTTTGACATATTGGGTCAGGCTCATGATAATGATATGGAAGACCAGCTTACAATCAGATTAAAAAAGCAAACTAATATTGACTTGAAGTGCAACTTAAGTTTTAATTGAAGTATTTAAAAGCAGCTTACCAAATTTCTGAATGAAAACAAAGGTCAATATTCATAAACGAAAGTTTGAGGCATGGAACAGTTAAGTTTACCAGTATGAGGAAATTGTTGTGACTTTTTTCACAACTTTGCAGCAACCATGATTGATAGGTCATCATAATTGAACATTTGACCAACTTCATTGACCGTTTCGAGTAGTAAGTTGTACTTTCAAAGAGAAGGAAACAGTTAAGTGAAGACATCCTCCGATAGGAGCTGTATGGATCCCAAATCTATTTACTGTATCAAAGGCTGATTTGAATGTCACTTTGCAAGATAGGTTGTTGACAAAGGATGGAAGGTGGTTCTCACCATGACGTCACTTGAATCTTTTTGGATCCATTTCAAAACTTGACATGTATACTGAAATTGCCTTAAACTAAACTTGAAGGTTATTCTCTGAATTTCCTTCATCTTAATTCTGCGAAACTGGCTTTTTGTTCATGAGACAAGGGAACAGAATGGATATTTGTTATCTTTTGAATGTAGCACTGTCTACAATCGAGTGATGATCCGATTGTCAATAAAAATCATGCACTCATTTCTCATGATATAGTATAGTCACCGACAGTTGTCACTGACAGTGAGCTTAAAATTGTATTTTCCCTCCAGCATTTGATTTGTATCCCCAATTAAAGCTTAGGTTATTTTGTCTATACTTGTCAGGTCTGGATGACTTATCCAATTATTTACATGATCAGAATTCATTTCAAGTAAAAATCTAGTTGATGTATAGTCATTAAATTTTCTACTTTTAGTTAGTTGTGGGCCGATGAGTCTAGGTCATCATCCCAGTCAGTCTCAGAATTTGTCATGTTCCAGATATTTTGTGAGTGAACGATGGTATTTTTTTACTTATTAAACTGTCCTTTAAACTTTAATCACAAATTTAATTTGGCCACGTAGCACTGCGCGTTGAGTGTTGAATAAAACCCTTGGTATAAAAGGTGTGAGTCAGTGAATATTGTGTTTTGATAGGGAGACGAATTTTATTTTTTATGGGAGTCTTTTTGCTAGGAGTATGAGAGAAAACAAATAATTTTCTTCAGAGTGAATCTTACTATTTGTGATAGTCTTTGGACACACTGTGAATGCCAGTAATAACTTATTAGGTATTTTGTGGACTGTGTTTCACACAATATAAAAAGAAATTTTAACTTTTGACCATCTTGTGATTGATTGACTTCACACTACACATCGGCCTTTTAGGGGGCTAAGAGTAAGAGACAGCAACAGCAATCTATACTCTTACATCATTTTCTGTGGCCCTACCCCCCACACCACAGTCATCCTGACACTTAATCAACATAGGGAATAATGAACCCAAACTCTTGGATTAAAAATTGTTTTTCAATACTGACATGTCACAAGGTTACATAGTAACATTTGAACATTTCATACATACATACATAAGTAATAGCAGTATTTTGAAAAGTTGGTCAACTCAGCATAGCAGAATATGTCGTATTCCCCAAGACAAAACTGAAATAAATCTCCAGCAAATATGACATCTTTGTTAAAACTTAAATTACCCTGTAATAAAAAGGTCCAAGAATTTTATTATTGGAAAAAAAAAAAATTACTTATTGTCAAAATTATTGACAGTTGTATTTTGATCCTCTTTTTCTTAGGTGCAAATTGTATTTGATCGCTGGAATGTCTAAAATTGGAAATTTAAGCAGCTAATTAAGGCAGCTTTTTATTTCTTGCCGAACAAAAGATATTAGTAAAATATATGAAGTCATTCTGGATATAAATACAGATATTTAAATGTTAAAAACAAATAAAAAATGTTGCCAACACAATCATCAATGTCATTACAAAATACAAATATATTACATTATATAAAATTAAAATATGTATAAAACTGGTATGTGTATATGTATTTAAAGATAGTGAATTTATTCATACAACTGACAATACCATAACTATAAGGAATTTGGAAATGAAGTATTGGTAGGGACATTAACAGATAGTTCAATGTTATGTAATTGTACATAGGATTTAATTTATAAACGGCATGTTTCCCCAATAAGCTGAAATAATCACAACATCGACTCGATGAAACTTAGTTGTAACATAATAGTAGACATATATTAAACTGGTGCTACCAGTTGTTTTTTACTGTAACTGTCAGAATTTTTTTAATTTATTAAAATATTGCAATATACCGGTACAAATTACAAACAGAACTTCAGTAAATTTGCTGAATCTGAATCGCTATCACTTGTTTTTTAAAATATTTTTTTAAACCTTTTTTTCCTTTCAATTATAAGTACCAGTACAAGCGACATAACTATCAAATGTGAAAAAAAAATTGTAAAACTACTTAGCTTCCTCATTGTAACTATTCATTCAAGGTAACAAAATAATGAAACCTGCAAATTTGTAAAAAAGCTTCAGGGCCTAAAATCAAACCTACCAAAGTCATGGTCATGGGAAAAATCAGAAGATTGGCTCAGAAAAAGGTTATGAAATTAAATAAAGAAAAAACTTCAAATTATGGTCTTTAGATAATTTGAATGTGTTCAGTTTTGGAAAAGCAAGGTTTGTGTAAATGTTTTTAAATAAAATGCAATCTAACATAAAAGCAAAAAACACAATAACATCCACTAAAGTGTGAGAAACTATAATTAGGTGCATTTCACAAAAGCAACAGCAAGCATGCATAGATAATGTGTGAAAATAATAAAATAACATCTTATTATTTATCATTAATCTACCTATAACATTGATAATAAAGCAAGAGATGAGTTTGGTTTAAAGCATCTCTTCTATATTGTTGTTTCTCCTTGCAAAATAATTGTGATCCCCTGTTTAGTACACGATTGTAATACAGATACGGTAGTATACAAACAAGTATTTTGATTAACAATTGAGACATTCTTATAACTTAAAAATGTCATTGTCACAGGAAATCACTGAATGATAGATGCAGTTTTTAAACTCATTCCTGCCGGCTGCATTTAACAACATCATTTGGGTGAGTTTCCCTTACAAAATGCAATGTTGGTCATTTTTTCCTGCCAACGGCTATATGTTTTTATTAAACTGAGTGTGTTTCTCAATGTATTTGCCTTTAGTTTATCTATTAATAAATTTCTTTGTTCAGGAATACTGATTAAGTCAACAGCTGCTGGGAATGATATCATACAATTTACTGAAGCAACCAAGTGCACGCTTTTTAATAGAAAATGAGTCCAGATTTAAAAAAGATCACACCAGAAAAATGATATATTTTTACAGATCATTCATTACTTGTCAAATCTATTTCCGATTCAAGTTCAAGTAGTCACAAGAAACAAATTTGCACTGATTTACAGTATGATGAAATTTATTCAAGTTGATAAACATTGGGTAAAAATTCAGCTTATGCTGACGCTGACTTCCCAACATTAGCTTTAACTTTGTTTCCACCTTGGATCTGCTCAACCAGATACAGCCAGGCATCAGAGATTGTGTCAACACCTTGAAATGCAACATCAGTGAGGCTCTTTATTCCAGCTGAAAGTCTTGTCCGCAGGATCTCCATATTAGGAAGAGCTTGTGTCTTGAAATCCTCTAAACTGATGGATAAAATTTAAATAAGAATTAACTTGAATCCACTAATGGAAAAGTAACAGTGGTACATACAAGTAAAACATACAAATTTAACCTTTTGCCTATTTAGTTTTTGTCTGTATTTGAAACCGATTAAAATTAATACTGCAAACTGGAAATAACATCTACAGAACAAATAATCATATGGTACCAGTAGCTTTATTTGTGATTTTAAGTTGGAAAAGTAATGATAGCTAAATTGAAAAGGCAATTTAAAAATGCTCTTCAATCAAGTGTCTCGTATAACTAGTACTAGGCTTTCATCTGGAACCTAAGAATAATGGTACATAGGTATATTTTTTATGTGGTACATTAATGACATTACAAAATAAAACTGCATACTCAAATATCTTTTCCAGAAATAAAAAAACTGCAGCAATCAAAGAGATTATAAAAAGGACAATGACTGCATAGTCTGCAACTTTCCATATTGCACTTCGAGGTTTATTATCATTAACACAGACTGGTCGCTGCTCATTGTGGACCCTCTGCACTTCTAAATTGGACGTTGCAGAGGAAGAAGATGCCATTTTGGATGAAGAGTCTGTTTCGTCCTGAAAAGAACATGTACAAGGAGACATATGATGTAGTTTTTTTTTTTATTTTAATGCACTTTTTTTAGATACCTGTAAAAGTTTTTACCATAATTACTATGTGATTAAATATGAAATCTGTGAATTTAAAAATGCTGATATTAAACTACATCCTTCAAGAAATAAATTATGGATGCAAAAAATAGGCATTGGACAATAATCCACATTTATGAACCATTCAAATACTATAAATGCAACTGAATAGATCAAATACAAATAGTGTACCGGTATCTCATTTTTAAATTCTAGCTTAAAAATATTTTGGAAGGAAATTGAGGATTGCAATTATAAAAGAATCATTAGACATGATGAATCTAGAAAATAAAGACCCTTAAAGAATTATATGCACTTCTTTCTATTAAAAAATACATTGACATGACATCATAATTTGATCAAACACAGCAAAAAACCTCCACAGAATAATTCAACAATAAAAACAACCTGAAAACTCCCAACATTAATTCGTTACATCCTACTTTACTGTTCATAATCAGAACGCTGGGTACATTTCGAACAAGCTCTTAATAACTGTTGAAATACTGTAGTTACTGTGTAAGTAAAAGATTATATTATTTAAATATCTAGATATTGATGTCTATGAATAAATTTGATTATCATCTCAAAACTATTTATCCAAATAGAAGATTTAGGAAATAACTATAACATAGGGCAAAATATAAGTAAGAACACACAAAAATAAAAATTTCATCTGCAAAAGGTGGTTGGTCCAATCAAAAACTGATATAACAATGATCCTAGATGAAATAGGGTTCATTTTTATTGTTAACTCTAAGCTTCTTGAATCCAAGTTTATGGGGTTATTTCTAATGTAGAGTTTTTAGTCTGGAAAAGCTGGGGGTCATAAATATAAATTGCTAATCAGTGTCCAAGAAACAAATTATTTATATCTAAAAATGTGACTTCAACAACACTGTTGTACACTGATAAGTAGACAACTGATCAATCAATCTGTCACTGAAATAATGTGCAGTTGAAGGAAAAACATTCAATATTTTGCCGATATTTAGTCTGAAATATCATGTTATTTTTATATATAATTGAGTAAAACGTTTAATTAAATTTAACAACAAAACTTACTTTGGATTCTACTTTACTGCTGTTTCCCTCAGTTGAAACTATTGCTGCATTAAAATTAATAGTAGAGTTTGATTCTGTGATCACAATAGCCTTTTTGCTTTGTGTAACTTTATCCGGGGTGGCTAATGTTGAGCCTTCTGCTGCTACTTTGGATATCTCTTCCTTCTTTAGTGAAGTATCCTCTTTTGCTTTTGAGGGACGTCCACGTGACCTTGAGGGTGATTTTGATTTTTCTTTAGATGCAGCTGCTTTGCGATTTCGCGAAGATGATCTTGATCTTGAACGAGAAACTTTTCTTGACCTTGAAGTTGATCGTTGTTTCTAAGCCATAAAGAGAAAAATTTTGAAACTTATTATGCAAACAGCAGACCTGTATACCCCCAAACTCTTAAAATCGTACAATAGCATCACAAAATAGTTTAATACGTTATACTTATAGTAAAAAATAAACATACAGTATATACAATCTATACACCTTAAAATCGTACATTGTACGCCAAAATCGAAAGAGTAAACAGGTCTGAAACAGCTTAGCTTTTGAATAGTTCAACTCTCCATTTTATAGTCCAACTTTTGACTGGTGCTTCCAAAATTTTATGTGCAATTCAAAAATAAAAAATTGTGCTTCGAATAGAAGATCACTCTACCTTTCGACTTGCTACAAATTGTTTAACAGCCTGTGCACAGTCGCCAGCTATAGATTTAGCAGGTTCCCAACTTTCACTGTCAGCAGAGTCTCCAGCACCCTTCCAGCGCACCAAATACTCCAGTACTCCTTTGCGTTTTCGCTGTTCAAGAACCGCATCTACCTGTTTAAATGAAAAGATGTGATCAGATTTTTAAGTTTACTGTGTAAACTTTATTAGTTTACTAAAAGACCTTTGATCGCTCGGACTGACAAACCCTGTGAAAACTTGACCAGGAAAACTGGTCAAGATTATACAAAACTCTTTTAAGGAATGTAGGGTGATACATGAAGGCAGTCACTAATGCCTTTAAAGTGGAAACGGTAGTCCAAGGATGTCTTTGTCCCTCTTTCTATTTCTTCTTGCCACTGACTACTGGATAATGAAAAGTATCCCCAGATAAAAGGAGGATGGGATCCAGTGAAAACCCTGTGGAAAAATGTATGACGTCGGCAAATCGCATGTGACGCTTTAGCTACCTGAGGGCGGCTTGGCCAGTCGGCCACAAATCAGTTTAGACTCCGAAAAACATGGTTCTTGACAGGTTCTTTCAACATTTTTTGAATCGCCCTGCTGCTTTTGTTTGGCACTTTTGACTTATGAGTTTGCCGACCTCTGACCTAGACCATGGGGCGGGGAAATTATTTTTAGCTATCACCCAAAATAAATTATTTCTCGCCCAATACAGTGTTGACATGAGAAAAAAAATGTTTGCTAGAAAGAAAAACAACGCCTTTAAACAATTTTATAAGTCTATTGAGCCCTCTTTACTCCCAAGATTTTCATTTTTACCCAACTTCATTTACCCAGTTTGCCTATAAATGACAGAGACTTTGGAGATGACATTCTAGTACTGCCCAACAAGACTAAAAGCCAACAAATGCAGGAAGGGACAAGTGATGCAGCCACTATTTCTGCATAGCTTGGACTCAAGATAAATAGAAGAAGCTAGACAAAGATCATGAAGATAAACACAACTAACCAAAGCTCCATGGCAGGAAATGCCCTTGAATGTGTAGCACCATTGACATAAATGGGAGGTCAGAAACAGAAGTAAGGGCTGGGATTGGAAAGGCCAGGTCAGCATTTGGGCTGTTAAAAAAATTATAAGAGCCAAAGGAGCTGATTCAAAAAACAAAAGATAGGATTTTCAACACAAATGTCCTCACTGTCCTACTCTATGGAGCCGAAACTTGGAGCATCACGCAGAAAGTACAGACCATCATAAGCACTTGCCTCAGACAGACCCTGAACAAAAAGATCAAACATCAACAACAAAGACTTACTGATACTGCAGAGGACATATCTAGAGCCTATTGCTGAATGCATCACAAGGAAAAGATGGAGGTGGGCATACTCTTTGTAAACCCCCAGAAAACATCACTAGACTATCCTATCATGGAACCAACAGGGAAAAAGGAAGAGAGGAGGATCAAAGAATACATGAAACGCAAGATAGAGGCAGACACATCAAGTATTGGAAACACCTGGAAGCAACTTGAAAGGAAGCACAGGGCCGAGATGAATGGAAGCATTTGTAGATTGCTTATGTCCCAGGGTGGGTAAAAGGCCTAGCTATACAGTCATAAAATGAAAAAAAAAATTTTTTTAATTCAAACGTCTTAAAATAATTATGTAACTAAAGGATTTAAAAACAAATTAACATACACTTTTAGTGTATAATATGGGTACTCGGTTGCATGTTTAACCATACCGAACATTTCCAAAAAATAGATGATCCATGAGTATATTCTGATATAAATATCCATTAACAAGTTTGCACAACTGCAGATCTCATTATTGCCATAAATGTCAGGTGCTAGGATCAAACGGAATTAACATGACAATATAAAAATAGATTTCAACTACTGCCACAATCTTGAAAAATAAGACAGCAAGACATTTCATTAATCAAAATTTTTTTTCATTGGTCATTGTTTAACTATCCTCATTTCACCATATCATTATTAAAATACATTAAGACAATGATAATTCAGATGTCCAAAATCTGTACGGCTAAACAGAAAAACTAAAAATATTCTGCAAAATGAGAATAGCAACAGGCACAGGAAAGGCATTTGCACATCTAACAAGATTAAACATACTTTTTCAAAAACCATGTTCATGGGTACCGCCATAACCTTCAACAAGTCATGTGGTGAACCGTGATCTCAATATTAACAACGTTCTTTATTGAGCATTACTCGCGTCATGAAAGATACGGTTAATATGAAGTATATTGAAATGAAATTTTCCATTAATTTGTATTAAAATTCAACTTTACGTTTCAAAAGAAAAGAAACACATCCTTGCTGATACCCCAAGACCCAAACACCGGTGAAAAAAAAAATATGCCCGCCAAAATGCTGTATTTTGATTAATTGAAATCAAAATAACCGCATGTTGAAACTTAGGTAACCAAAGGAAGACTAATGGTTTTAACTTAAATTGCATTTGGGATAATCTTCTAGGAACTGGGGAGGGGAGACCCCTCCCTAAACAACCCCTCCCCTCGCTTTAAATACCAAAATAAGAAACAGAAATTCAGGAACCCCTTTTAAACAAAAATAAAAGATAAGAAAACAATAACTTGCTTTATGTAAATACAAACAACGAAATCTTTTTAGTATGGCACTGTAGACGGTGCTGTAGAGGGAAATGAACCTGGGCGAACCTCTGTGACCTATCTACCATGGAACACATCGTCAGCCTTACCGCTAACTCAAAACCAGCCGAGCTTTGGCCAATTCGATCAGAAATGGCACCTGAACTGCAAGATTACCCTTTAAACTTTCAACTTTACTATTAATAAAGTAATAAGTAAGCCCAGTATAACTGTATTCGTACCGGTATTACTAGTCTACATTATACTTATACTACATATAGTATAAGCCTGCACAACATACGGCCCCATCTGCCCCGCCAACACCCACTTGGCTGCCCACGAAGACTTTGATGAAAATTTATATTTTAAATTAAAAATATTCCCTAGCTTATCGATTTATAATATTACGAAAGGTATATTTACAGAAAATAATTATAAATATTTATTTCACTTTAAAATAATCAACATTTTTTTTGTGGATTTTTCCTCACGTATACGTCAAATTAATGCTTTTTTTTTTTATTAAATCAAATTAAATTACTAAATATTTATCGTTGTGTAAATATTGATTATTCGTTTTCTTTCCTCATAACGTTATCTACACACATATGTACACTTTTCCCACGCAATTACTCTTTCGCGAAGGAAATCAACAATGGTTTCCCAGCGTATGTATTCTTTATCAACATAACCTTCTCGGTAGCGTGTTCAAAAAGTAGTGTTTTCTGTGCAGAGCAGCATTTTATTATTTTTGTAATATTTTGTAGAATTGTGTAGTGTTGTGTAGAACTCACGTATCGTGTTATTTAGTTCGGTAATATACTTACAAACTTGTAATTTAAATATTTAAGCGCCATGAATCAAAGCAGATGGAGAAAACTCGTATCCAGAAATTTGATCGAAAGAAATTTCGTCAACGGTAAATTGATCGAACCGAAATGCGGTCAATTTTTTTTTTCAATTCACACGTTATAATTTTGCGATAATTTTCTTTTTGAACACAATATTTTGTTTTACTGTATGGTATAGTGTGTTAACTGATAATGAAAATTTTCAAAACCCAGGTACGAAATGATGAAATGAGTCACTTTTCCACTTGTGCACAACATATTCCTCAGGACAAGCATGTTGTGTTGGGAAAAAAAATTAGATAATGAAATTAAATTTTTGATAGAATTTGATAAAAAGACTTACTTTTTCCAAAGAAGAATAAATTCAGTTTAAACTAACTGAAGTTCCATTTTGTGTGAATAACCGAGGACATACCAGCTCAATTGCTTATGGAGGTTATCAAACTACAATGTTCGGCAATTTACTAGCAAGTACAGAAAGAAAAGAGACTATCATGACTATCGCCATCATGATCAATGATATTTGTTTTCCTGATTTTAATTTTCATATTTGTTTGCACTGTAACTGTATCACTATACTGTACACTTACTACAGGTGTCCTTACTTAAGACTAAAGAGTACTAAGACTAAAGGTTTAACTCACTAGACTTTGAACTTACTTAACAGTTACTAATTACTACGTTACTAGTCTAGTAACGTAGTGCAGTACAGTACAGTACTTACTTACAGTTACAGGCACAGGAGTTAAATTAAATAATAAATTATACTGATCACTGATACCAATCACGCACACGAAATAGACCGGGTCATTCAGGGGTCAAACTCAAAATGAAATCGGCCTACAGAACTATGAATACAATACCCAGTTAACTGATTTATTAATGTTGAGTTATGGGAGAATGGGGGGGGGGGGGAAGGGAGATAACAAACTGAGGAAGAGAGATAACGATCTTCGTCGTGCGATTAATCGTACCTACCGGTCATTATACTCCTTTTACAAACGAGTCAGAAAAGACAAAGGGGGGTCAAAAAAAAGCTGATCCAATTCATTTAGGTTTAATAGAAAATAACAAGATGTTAACTATCTTTGTCTAGGCTTACAGCTAGTAAAAAGATAACAATAATTATATAACCTTACTTCAAACTTCTCGTCGTCGCTAAAACTCGCCATGTTTTTTATTTGAAAACTAGTTTCCCACAATGCATTTTGAGACGCTTGTAAAGTACCCCTAACTCCAGGGAACAGCATTCATTGTGATATTATTGCTATCATCAACCATCACTACAAAAATAAATCCTTATTTTTAAATGTATAAAATCCATTTAAGACTCCATAATCATTAATTATTTAACAAATAAAAAATATTCAAGCTTAAGGATAGGCCCACATACAGTGGCGTAGCGAAACATTGTGTCACCCAGGGAGGAGTTTGAATTTGCCCCCCCCCCCGAAAATACTACACATAAACATCTATCAGTATAGAGTTTTTTTGTCACAGTTAAACTTTCAGGTGGAAAGTGCCCAAATAAATCATAATAACGATCAAGGAAATCTAAAACTCCGTCCCAGTCCAATCTGAAATAAATTCATTCCAGTTGTTTTGTCCTTGTTTTCCCCTTTTGCCTAAGCTTATTCTCGCCCCTTAAATCTTTATAGTCTTCAGAATTTTTTTTTTTATCAATGCTAAATGCATTTTAGCACGTACCTGAATTTAGTTTTGAAAAATTCTAAACTTAACTGGAGAGCTACGAAAGAGATGCTAGTTAAAAATGTGTGTGTGTCATTTAACCTCAGAGTCATTATGCGGGATTGCAGATTCTACGGCTGCAAGGGTTGGGGGGGGGGGCTAGGATAGTTTTTGGAGCTTAAAGTTGTGACGTGTACCATTCTTTAATAATCAATTTTGAATGCAAAGTAGGAGTAGACAAAACTGAAAAGTGGCCTGGTGCCTCGAAAAGTCAAGCAACGGCTCTGCTTGACATGCTTGTGTTATAGTTATACAAATATTTTTTTTTAATATTTAATTACTAATATTAATAGGGATTTTATTTTTTAATGTATTTTCAGGGTTAAATACTTAATTAATAAATTAATTTTCAAAAACAAACAAACAAAACAAAAAAATCCTTCTAAAACGCTTCCACTAAAAAAAAAACACTGCTACATCATTTTACATGTTAAATGCAAATTTAAAAAATTTAAAAACATTTACTAATAATAAATACCTTTTTTTAAATATTTCCCGTAAAAAATAAATAAAACTGTTTTGTAGAAAGTTTTATAGATTTTTATGAGGTTTCAAAACTGGTAATTTTTATATCGAATAAGAACGTCAAAATTAAAATAAATAATAATAATAAAGCTTATTTTAAAATCACGCTTCATCCCCAAAGACTCGAAGCGCGGTACAAAGTCATCCATATTAAAAGAGACATTAAAAAATCTATATTTTACCACATTGAAATACAAAACGCAAAATTGCAAAAACTACATACGAGAATACCCATTCTAATTATTTCTTCTCTTGCAACCATAAACAACACAGGCCACTATACATCTAGGAGATAATAGCTAGCTGGAAAAGATTATGTTAAGAAGAATTAAGATGTTTTTAAAACGGCATCAGATTTACATATTTATTAACGTGTGATTTTTATCTGAAGGAAACCGTATAAAAATAAAGTATCAATGTCCTAATATTCAGTTGATTGAAGTGTTTATTGGAATTTCAAACTACTATAACTTACTTCAGATAATTTACAAGTTATCTTTTCCATGTATTTAAGAACATTTTTTTTTACCAAATCCACATAATTTACTTTTATTTGACTATTTAGGAAAAAAAATATTTTCTCAAACTAGTTTTTTTTTTTTGGTCTTTTTTTGTTGTTTTTTTTAAAATCGAATTGGCATGATAATAGAAACGCTACAACTTTTTTTTTTATCTTTCTACTGGATTCGCATTTTTAAAATACTTAATTGATTAAAAATATATTCAAATTGGTGGGGCAGATTGTTTATTATCCTGATATTAAAAGAGAAAAAGCAGTTGGAAACAGGTTTTCTTTCAGCTATATCTCGGGGGTGGGCCCCCCCCTCCGGAGAAAGCCAAGTGCCCCCGGAGCAAAAATATGTCCAAAAATAAATCAAATGGAACTGCTGGCGCTGCCCCCCCCCC